GACTTGGCCCTCACTCTAAACGCCATACCTCCATATGCTCAATGTGTCTCAAGTGGGAGTTCTTGGTGGCCAGCAGCAGCCCCCGGGCCTCGTCCAGCTGGGTCTTCACTTGTAGAGACTCATTATAAAGAAGTGAGAACTGGGCCTGCAGCATGCGGTACTCCCCTGTCTCTCGTACCACCTCCTCAGGAAGGCTCCGAAGGGCCACCTAGGAGAAGGGATGCCCCAAATGGCAATCAATAGGCTTAGGGTTCAGTTCCTATCTTGCAGGCCCAGGCCCTCTCAGCCCCAACCACAGCCCACCTTGAGGCGTTCATTGGTCCTCACAGCACCCTGAAGTTCCATCTGCAGCTTCTCCAACTCTGCCATGCGGCTATTGGCCAATTCTTGGTTTTCCTCCAATTCTGCATTCAACATCTCAAACTATGGAGTGGGAGGGGCTGTGGTAGGCAGGGCCATGACAGGCAGCATGTTCCTCTCACCCACAACAACAAACTTTACCCAAGCAACCCTGTGCAGCACGCTGATGGGACTCTGAAGCCCTAAACCAAGGGCTTTCCCAAGATCTCCCACTTGTGGGCTGGGGCTCAGTGGCAGAGCACTTGCTTAGCAAGTGTGGGGTTTCAATACTGCATGGAGTACTGAACATTGGGAGCTAAAGTTCTTAACTGACAGGGAGTCAAGGAAGCATTCTCAGAAGACCTGAAAAGCCAGTTGAAGCAAAAGGCAAATAGCACAGTGACCCCAGAATGCTAAGGGACTCTATATAACCCCATTTATTTCTTTCTGTGCTTTTCCTTTGTGGTACTTGATAACCAACTGATGTACTATTTCATTAATTTGTATACTCCCCAGCTATAACCTAAGCTCCAAGGAAGTATTGATATTTTCTCTTTCCAATCTACCTAGTACTTAGCACTAGTTCTCTGTAATTATTTACTAAATAAGTAGATAAATGAGTGAAAGAAAGAGCTCCAAGAGTGACAGGGAAGGGGCTATGAGGTAGACATTTGCCTTTGGTCCTGAGGGATATTTTAAGGGAGGGACAGAGGGACTGGGAAGAATGATGTTGCTCACCTTCTGCATGCTGAGTGTGATCTGGCCCCCTTGGAAGCCTGAGGAGCTCCCAGACACATAATAGCCAGAGTTGAGCTGCAGAGAGGAGACAGGTGATAGATATGAAGGGCAGAAGCCAGGGTCCCAAGTACCCGAGCCTGGTTCCATCTTCCCCAGCACTTCAGCCTCACCTGCTCCAATGCCTCTGCCAAGTGCTTATTGAGCTTTTGCTCCCGCTTACGTAGCTTCTCAATGTCCCACTGTAAGTCTTCCACTGTCGTCTCCATCTCTAGCACCTTAGTCTCTGCTGACGTCACTTTATCTTGGAGCTCAGAATACTGGGGCAATGGATGGGACAGATGCTTGGATAAAGGGACTTGGAAGCCCGAGATCTTTGGGTGCCCATCTAACCCAAACCCTGCCCTGGTTCTACTTCCCCCACCAAAAGCCTGATTCCCACCTCCAGTGAGATGCGGTGGTGCTTCTCCTGCAGCTGAGTGGCCAAGTCCTGTAGCCGCCGATTCTCACGGCCCAGCTCCCGGGTACGTGCTCGAGCGGCCTCACCAGGGGGCTCACTGTCCCCTGGGAAGGCAAGATCCAGGTAAGAATCAAGCTCCAAGGGCAACAGGTCAAAGTACTAACTCATTCTGGAGTCTGATATGTGCCCAGAGTGATCCACCAGTGACTTGCCAGTTTCTCATGGCAAAACCAGGAAATTTTATCCCCTCTGTACAAAGGAGGAAACTAGCTCAGAGAGGGGAGCCATTTTCCCAGAAAGGCCTCACTATCGAAGCAGAAGTAAGGCTGAGAGAAACCAGCCAACCTACAAAGCCTAAGGACTTATTGCTCTGCCTTGTGGATCAATAGCTATCACTGAAATTTATACAAAGTGCTCTAGATAGGTCTCTAGCTGGAAGATGGTGGCACTATTAACATCAACAACTCTTCCATCCAGAAATCAAACAGAATCTCCATCTACAGACTATTTCCCCCCAAATCATGGCTGATTTATTCCTTGGGGAATTCTGGGCTTAATGCATTAATGAGTTAGGGGATGGGGAGACCATAAAGATGTAGGCAGAGACAGTCACTTCTAGGGTAGGACTAACCTCGGCTGTATACTCGCTGACACAGTTCCTCCACACGGCGCTGCAGGCGATCTGAGGCCTCTACGACCCGGGACACGGCTGCCTTAGAGAACTCCATTCGGCCCTGAAGTTGTAGCTCCACTTCCTCACTGCTGCTGGCACCTAGTGCCACCACAAAAGCCAAAGCTGGCTCACTGAGAGGGGGTCGCAGCTGCATTGGCAGGGACTCTGGGAAGGATGGACAGATCCTCATCAGAATAATAACAGCAGCAATGACTATTAATCTGTACCAAGTTATAGACTGAGCCCTTCAATATGTCATGACTCACTCAATTAACACAATTAGTAGTTATCTTATTATCCCCAACTTGACAGTAAGACAACTGAAGTTTAAAAAGTTAATGTAGTTTCCTCAAGGCTACAGAGCTACCAAATTACTTCCTCAGGGAAGTCATCTACCTTCCCAGTCTAAAGCAGGACTACACATATGTGTGTACAAATACTTATTCTCTTTCAGGACCTCAATAATTTCTTAAAAAATATTTAATTTTTAGGGACTGGGATTGTGGCTCAGAGGTACAGCACTGGCCAAGCATGGGTGAAGGATGGGTTCCATCCTCAGCACAACATAAAAATAAAATAAAGATACTGTGTCCACCTATAACTAACAACCAAATATTTAAAAAAAAATAATGTTTAGTTGTAATTAGACACAATGTCTTTATTTTATTTATTTATTTATTTATTTTTACATAGTGCCGAGGATTGGACCCCAGGGCCTCGCATGTGCAGGCGAGGCACTAACATTGAGCCACAACTCCAGCCCTCCCCAATAGTTTTTACTTATTACTTTTAGTAATTTCCTCCACGACAATAGGAACAGTATTTATTTCTGCTTGTCTCTGATTCCTTCTAATCCAAAACAGCGTTAAATACTTAATTAACACTCAGTGTTTTTTGGACTTGATGAATATCAACACTAGCACTATAAACCACATCAAATTACAGTCTTTGTTCTCACCCATGGCAATGTTCTGCCCAAACATAAAAACGATTTCTTGGGGGAGATGGATGGGGTGGGAAATTTAAGAACCCCAAATCAAAGTCTCCCACTCTCCAGAACATTTCCCAAAAGTTAAGCTCCACAGATCCTAAGGCTCTGGTCCTACCTCTCAGCTCTGATGTTCCTGGCTCTGTGAGAGGAATCACATCACGTGTTGGCCCCTCCTGAGTCCCAGGTGCCTCCATCCCTGCAGATGGCTCCCCCTGGCTCTCATGACATCGGAGAAGAGCTTCTACAATTTCATCCAGCTAAAGGGAGAAAGCACCAGAAATATTATAAATCCCTAGGTGCTTTCCAGCATGAAACTCTTTTCTCAGTAGGGTAATTTGAAAATTAGCAAATGAATCAAGGCTAGATCTTAGAAAGCAGAAAGCACCCACCTGGGCCCAGTAGCGATTGACAATGAGGAGTGTGGCATCATCTGTGGCCTGACGTTTCTCCAACTTTTCAATTCGTTCTCGAAGTTCATCTTCACAAGCTTGTCGCTGTTCCAAACGCTCTGCTAGTTTCTTGTTCTTGAACTGCAGAACCTTCAAGTCCATCTCCTCCTGCCAAGGGAAACAAAAGTGCCAAGGAGAGTGTCAAGCAAGGCTCAGAAACCATCACAGATGCAGAGAAGGAAAGCAACTGGAATGGATGGAAGGGTGGTATTCCCAAAATATCTGTGAACAAGACTTAAAGAGGTTCAGCTATTCCCAGAGAAAGCATCCTGGTTATGAGAAGGCTGAAGTTATGCGTCTTCCTCTCTCCCTAACTCTKAAGTTTTTTTAAAAATCACGCTCTAGGGGACCTGTTTTTGTAACTGCAAGGGGAAGGCAGATGTCGTGCTCTTGGTTTCCCACAAGAAAAAGTGTTTTATAACACTTTATAGTGAAGCTTTCTAAGCTTGGGGACCTGGCACTAAGATTCTTGACGGTTTGGGCGGACACCAGAGATAGGAGGGGTAGCTAAGTTCTGAAGACTAGGGCAAAAGACCACGAACCGTGGAGGAGATGCCCCCAAGCCGAATGGGTTCGATAAGAGTAGTTGTGGTCTTTTCCTCGCGGCTCAGCTTCTTCTCTGGAGGCCCTGAGCCCCCGTCGCCGGCGGCGCGTTTGTTGCCGGGCCCAGACATAGCTGCGGCGGCGAGGAGCGGCGTAGGGTCCCCCGAGGGTCGCGGGAGAGGGCGGCACTTCGGTCACCTGAAGAAAACAGAGCAGAGATGTGGCAGCGGCCGATGCTCCACAGCCCCGAGCGGTCCCCTGCACACACCTGAAAGATCCCGCCCCCGCCAGCCCGGGCCTTCACCGACAGCAGGGTCAGCCTAGCGCCGCCATCTTGGATTTCACCGGACGTCACTGGCCCTCCCACATAGGGCGCAGGCGCTAGAGACAACACCGGATGTGGCGAAGCGTCTTCATTTCCTGTTTTTCTCCGTCGCACTTGTCCCGCCTCTCGGATCATTTGATTTTTTCCTGAACACCTCCTCTTTCTCTGGGTAATTGGCCAATAGACAGTTCCCATGGCAACTGACACTGAACTCCTACTTTCCTGTCCAGAGGACAGTGCAAGCCCTTCTATTAGGAACTTTCAAGGGGATAAACAGGGGGAAATATCTTGCAACTTATCACGCATGCGCATTCTCCTCTCGCTGATTTGCGCGAGCCCGCACTTTCTACTTTGCTCTCACAAGCCTCTTAGCAACGGTCACCGTGGAGACCCGGAAGACGCCTTCCTGGCCCAGCGGATTGGCTACACCGGCCTAGCTGCCGCGTACAGTGGCTGGAAAATCGCTAGAGGGTCAGACCTTGGCAGTCGCTGCTAGAGAATAGGTTGTTTCCGAAACCCAGGTCGGAGAGAGCTGGTGGTGACTTGAGACTCCGAAGAGATGACCAGCCTTAAGTCCAGCCAGTACCTGGGAGTGAAGGTGCAGTCGGAACTTGAACAGCCCTCTGAACTGCGGCGGGAACTGGAGAAGGATCTCAGTTCAGCGGATGGATCGGCCATGATGGGAACAGGTGTGCGGACCGATTCGGCTACACTGGGCTCGGCTTCTATGGAAGCAGAAGATGATCCTGGAGCCAACTTGTTCCCGGTGAGGGTGGGACAAAGTGGTCCGCTCACGAATATGTATAAATGGTTTTCCCACGGGGCGTCACCCGTCATTACGTTCCCTAACGTTCGGGACGTTTCCCTTGATTCTTTGAGGAAGAGAGGTAGAGGATGTGTAGCCCAGATTCTTAATAATTTCACAAATAGTACTTAGGACCTGCTTAAGTCCAGCCGTGACCACGTTGCTCTACATAGACCTAGAGATGAGAAGGCAAATTATAGCACGTTCTCAGCCCCGCTGGAGATTGATGGCGGACCAGGGACTAAGGGCCAGAAACAACACAGCTCTTCCTTCCCCAATGCACTTTCTCTCCGCAGCCGCCACTGCCCCAGCCCAGGATCTGCATGTGGTGAGTGAGAAACCTTGGGGGAATGTTACACTTCATACTTATATTGTTCCTTTAGTGCTTCCCAACCAGGACATCCCCATTTTTTAAAAATATTTTTTTAGTTGCAGTTCGACACAATCTTTATTTTTATGTGGTGCTGAGGATCAAACCCAGTGCCTTACACGTGCCAGGCCGGTGCTCTACAGTCCCAGCCCCAGAACATCCCCATTTTACAGATAAGGAGACTGAGGCTCACACATGCATTACTCAAGGTGTGTATAAGCCACCTTTTCAGGTCCCCTAGTCCAAAGAGAGAGTGTGAGATGGGAGCCAAGAGTGAGGATGTAAAAGGAGTATCATAGCTTCCATGGAACATTGTACAAATGGGGCTACTGAGGATCACAGGGGCATTTAACCAAGATCATATGGCAAGGTAGTGGAAGAACAGAGACAAGAACTCATTGAGAGGATCATAAAAGTTCATGTAGGCCATATTCCTCATTTACAGATGGAGGAAACAAGGCCCACAGAGGTAAGTTACTTGCCAAAGGTTACAAAAGTTAGTCAAAGTGCCAAGCCTCAAACTCCTGAGCAATCTCCTGAGCAATCAGCCCCATCATGAATCTAATATGTACCAATCATAAATACTGTTTCCCCTTTTCCTGTGATAGGAAATTCCTGGACATCCATTGCATGCACCGGCTGGAGAAGACTGACAACATTGAGGAGATGAGGGAGTATGGGACTGAGCAAGGAGGGGAAGAGCTCTTGGGGAGGAAGACATGAGGAATGGCTGTCTCCAAACATGGCGAGTGTAGGGTGGTGAAACAAGGCTTCTATCGTCACTCACTCCTTTCCTCTCCCTAAGAGTTCTGGCTGAGCTGTTGAAGATTGGCTGTCCTGAGCAGAACCTGCAGGATGCCATCACCCTGGACCTTTACTCCCATGCGCTCATCTTCTGCCGCCAGCAGGGCTTCTCACTGGAGCAGACATCAGTGGCATGTGCCCTGCTCCAAGATCTTCACAAGGCCTGTGCTGGTGAGACAGCAGTGGCTACCAGAAGGTTTGAGCCCCAGGGAGAGGGGGAGACTGGCCTGGCACAATTGACTCTGGAAGCAGGAGTAGGGAGATTACCACCTGGAATCTCAATTTCTTCACTGATAGCAGTAGCAATACTAGCATACCAGTTATCATCTTTGAAATCCTGTTTCTTTGCCAGTAATTTAAAGACAGAGCACTAATGTTATATGAGACTGAGAAATATATGCAAATACATGCACAGTGTTCAATAAATGACTTCTGCATTTCCCTCCACACCCTTTTATTCCCCATCTTTATTCTGATTTCTTCAGAATATTTAATAACTGAAATTATTTATTTCTTGTATTATTGTATGTTACTTCCACTAGAATATAAGCTTCCTGATGGCAGGACCTTGTCTGTCTTATTCAGTGCCTACAACATCACATACTGAGGATTCAGTATTTGCTGTGTGAATTAAGGAAACGAACAAAGACTTAAACCTAGATCTGTCCACTTCTGAAGCTTGTGTTCCTTAAGTAGGCAGTGAACTGGAGGGATGGATAGCAGGAAGGGCCTCACTGCCATACCCTGCTTTCCCTACCAGCAACACCCTTGGGCAACGTGGAGGAATGCTACCGCTACTTTACCAGTGTTCTTTTCTGCCATGGAGTCAGGGTCAGTATCTGAGGGCAGAACTATCATTGATCCCCAAGACAAGGTCTAGCCCAATTTTCTACCCTCTCTCCCACTATTACCCTCCTCTTTCTCTAAAGACCTCAGTGGGCTCTCCCTGAACCTAGATAGCTTAAGGGCCTGGGCTTCTGGAGGCTGTCAGTGCTCTAACTCCCAGTCATCACCACAGCGGCCCCCATTCAGCATTGACCTCTTTAAGGAGGAACAGCTGCTGGCCCTGGCAGACTACGTGGTCAACACCTACTTCCGCCACTTCAAACTCTACAAATATGTGTTCACACCCCAGGTACTATGATGTGGGTGGCAAGAAACTGCCCCTCATCTTCCCCTTTCTCTCAATGCAGGTGCCTTTTTCTTAGTCTTGCTCTTTCTCTTCCCAGGTACGGCTGGATCTATCTTTGACTTACATGGGGCTACAGCCACCCAAGCCCCGGCCAAAGGGTAAGATGGGTACCAAAGAGGGCCAGGGCCAGGGCAGGGTTGGGCCAAGCCCACTGCAGTCCTCTTCTTGCTTCTGGCTTGCAGAGAAAGAAGGTGAGGAGGCAGAGGAGCAGGCACTCACCCCACAGGAGGAAGAACTGGAGATAATGGCCCAGCCAGAGCAAGAGCCATGTGAGCACCTGGAGGGTTTAGGGTGCCTTGTGATTCTGAATGAAGATTGTAGACCACATCAGGACTTCAGACTTCTAGTTTTAGTCATGGTCCACTTTCTAGAAGATTCCTTATGCAGTCCAAGTTGAATTAGTAAGAGCAAAACTGCGAGGGAAGGTTCGGGTGGCAAAAGAGGTAGCTCTAGAAAGATGATTAGAAAAACAATAATAGAATGCAGAGCTTTGGCAATACTGTGTACCACCAAAGGATGTCTTGTTTTAAGACTTTTTCTGTATATTAACTCACATAGTCTCTCTTACCTAGGTGTTATTACTATCTACTTTTTTAGTTTTTCAGTACTGGGGATTGAACCCAGAACTCAAGGCTTTGTGCATGCTAGGCAAGTGCTCTACCCTTTTAATTTTATTTTATGACAGAATCTTATGTTGCTGAGGCTGGCCTCTAACTTGCAATTCTCCTGCCTCAGCCTCCTGAGTAGCTGAGACTACAGCCATGTGCCACTGTGCCCATCAATATCTACATTTTACACAAGGAAACTGAGGCATGGAAAGGTCAACCTGCCTAAAGCTATGTAGCTACTAATTTGTATTCAGAATTTTAATCCAGAAAAGCCCAACATAGCTACTCTGCCTAATCTGCCCAACAGTCTCTCCAAAAGGGCTGGTTGATATTTCCTAGACTGAAGTAAATAACATTGCCATCTGTATGGGGGCACCATGGGGTTATGTTCACTCAGCCAGGGACACTCTGTCATTCTTAGAATGCATCTCTCCTGACCTGCCCCTTCCTTCTGTGCAGCCCAAGTCTGTGTCCTCCGAACCTACATCAAGACCCAACTTAATAAGGAGCTGGGGCAGCTCCAGCAGCTGGTGGAAGAGCGCCTCAAGGCCAGTGAGGAGAGGCTGAGCACCAAGTTGAGTGCTCTAGAGCGGCCTCACCAGCTACCTCCAAGCAAAAACAAGAACAAGACTAAGTGATCTCCAACATTTTCCCCAATAAAAGCCTGGGCCAGAGTGCCCCGTCCTGGGCTACCATCCTGAGCACCTTCTGGGCTGAAGCCAGACAACAGACATGGGGCACATGATCTTCCTAGCATGGAGCAGATTTTATTTCAGATGCAGCACAAGCAGTACTGACAAGGCCAGGCATGGCATTCAGAATGGCTCCCCTTCCACCCCAGCTTTGATTTCAAGCCCTAAGCCAATGAGAGTAGGTGCACAGGGCTGGTCTCTACAACAGTGGCATGATCAGTGGTGCACCTTGTTAGGCAGGGGAGCCTGAGGTCAGAGCCCAGAAGGGCTGGAATGATAAAAAGTCTCCTCCTTGAAAATCCTGCTTTCTGAGGCTGCCCAGGGCTAAGGTCCTAGCCCTGCACCAGTGCCGTCTCATCCTCAGTGATAGCAGTGGTGTTTCCCTCCTCTTCAGTGCCCATGAGGGGAAAAGGCCCAGGGGGCCGGTGCTGGAAAAGAGCTGCCCGGTTCTGCTGCTCGCCCTTCTTTACCCAGTGCCCGTAGAGCCGGAAGGCACAGTTGTCAATGAGGCGTCGCACTGGCCGAAGTGCATAGGGATCCCTCAACAATGCACTCTTGGTCAATGGCCGTACTCGGTGTGAGCTTAAGGCCACTCGTCCAGCAGCCAGCACTGTCCACACTGCCACCTGGGGAATGAGGGCAGTGTGAATTCTAGTGGAGCATCCCTCACAGGAAAGGTCACAGGTCAGGCACAGGTGCAGACCCTGATAGTCTCAGGCTTACCCGGAACCGCTGGCGGGGTGTAAGATTCCAGGATTGACTGCCTTCACAGCGCTCAAAGAAGGGGTGCTGCAAGGCCTGCTCAGCTGTCAGGCGCTCCTCAGGATTCACCTTTAGCAGTCTTGAGATCTAGAGGAAACCCCAGAACATGAAGGGCAGATCTTAACGCTTCCCCATTGTCCTCTCATAGCCCCAGCTCACCAGATCTTTGACGGTGTTTGAACGGTCATCCCACTCAGGTGAACTAAATCGATATTGGCCCTCCATGATCATGCGTAACATCAGGATCTGGCGCCGATGCCAGAATGGTGGCGAGCCAGCCAGGAGTGTGAACAAGATCACCCCACAGGCCCAGCTGAGAAAGAGACCAGAATCAGGTAGGTCTAGGTAAAAGGCAATGTGAAGGACAGTACACAGGGGAAGGGAAGACCAGACACTCACAGGTCAACCTCCTTGCCATAGCCAGGATGGGTTTCATCCATGGAACATTTAAGGATCTCTGGTGCCAGATACCCTGGAGTCCCACACAACTCTGTGAAGAGACAGCAGATTGAAGGGATGCCACTAGCTCCCTCCAAGGCCCTTAATACCAGATCTCTGCTGGAGCTAGCAGTGTTCCCATTCTGTTCCTGCCTGCTTCCTACTGAACCTCAGAACTAGACACTGCCTAAACAACTTAAATAGCCCACCAAGACTCCTGGTAACCTCGCTAAGAAAACCTGATTTGGGAACTGACTTCAAGGTCCTACCAACCCATATCATTTTCCTCCTTCAACATTTTAGCCAAGTCAACCTACCTACTCCTCAAACAACATGTTACCACATTTTGACATAGTTTATATATATGGAAAACTAAAATTTTTTCTGTATCCTTTCTGTCCCCAAATTATAATTTTACTTCTGGCTAGTAGAACTACCATTCAACCCAAGAAGAGCAAGCAGAAGAAATATGGGATTTCTTTTTTTGCGTGTGGTTCTAAGGATTCAACCCAAGGGTACTCTACCACTGAGCTACATCTTTAGTCCCACCATGCTTTTTGGCAATACCAAGGAAACATTTTTATTTTTTGAGACAGTATCTTGCCAAGTTACTGAGCTGCCCTCAAAATTATGATTCCCCTGCCTCAGCCTTCTGAATTGCTGATGCATGTAATCTCAGGCATGTATTACTACAGCCAGCAAAACATGGATTTTTTTATTTTATACTGGGGATCAGACCCAGGGGCACTTAACCTCTGAGCCACTTCCCCAACTGGGATTACAGGTGTGTGCCACCGTGCCTGGAAAAATATGGAATTTCTTACTAAGTTCATCTATTTCAGAATAATAGAGTAAGACAAGTATCATGAAAGGAGTATATATAAGAAAAATGGAGTACACTGGGTACATGATGTAGCTCAGTGGTAGAGCATTTTCCTGGCATGTGTGAGGCCATGGGTTCAACCCCAAGTACTACTTAAAAAGGAAAAAACAAACACAAAAAAAACCAACAGGGGTACCTTATCTGACCTGACCTGGAAGCTTACAGTGAAATTATAATTACTCAAGCCAAGGGAGAGGGCAAAATGTGAAGGGACAAAAATCATTCCAGAAAGAGGAAAAGTGTATTTGGAAATCCAGAGGAAAATAAAGCACAGCATCTGCAAGAAGTGTAAGTCCACAGATTAAGAGAATGAGGACTGCCCAAATTTAAATCCTGGCCAAATGACTTTGGGCAAATCATTTTGTCTCTTACTTCCAAGGGTTCTTGGAAGATTTAGAGAAATAAGTCATGTTGAAGGCTTGGTGTGCACCTGCCTCATGGCAAGTATCCAGGATATGTTATCTATTAATAATAATCCAGTGCAAAGCCATTGAAGGAGACATAGTAGCATATTAAAGGGTCTGAGGATTCTTGCAGATGAACTTTGCTTGAAGTTTCCATTTGCACTAGGACTATTTCTTATTCTTACTTCTATATTAATATGTCACAACAAATATATCAAGATTGAGTAAGCCTAAGTCCCAGGGCCCTAGCTGAGAAGTTGATGTAGTTGATGTGGCCAGGACATATCAGGCTTCTCACAGTACACTGTGGTGCTATTTTTTGTAGAACCTAAACATGCTGCTGAGCCCTACTAGTCCCTACTCCCTCATTCCTTTTGGGACAAGGATTCACCCCAGAAATCCCTACTCTGTGGATCCCTCGGGATAAATTAAGTGTTTCTTCCTCCTGACTTTCTTGGTGTGCCAGCTGTGTGCCCATCTACTCACTTGTCTGCCTCCATTCTCCCAGGTCAAGAAGCCCACTCTGAATTACACAGTATTTGCATCCTAGAGGATGCTTGGCAGATGCTTACTGACTTCCATTTCCTTGGTACCTGGGACTGACTACTCAGATTCAGCCAGTCAACCAACCTCAGGCCTGGGTCTCCTTCCCTCCCAAGCCACTTAGGGCAAGGTCCCCTCACCTCGAAGCTTCTCGCCAGGTTCCAAGTGGCAGGAGAACCCAAAATCTGAAAGTCGGATCTGCATATTGTCATCTAGGAGAATATTCTCGGGTTTCAGGTCTCGGTGCACAATGTTGTTGGCATGGAGAAAGCTCACTGCTTCCAGCAGAGACCTCATGATGGACCTGAGGGAGGTGCAGTCTCCTCCTCTGCTTCTCCCTGCCCTGCCCACTCCCTGTTCACCCCAAGGGCTGCAGGCTGTGCCATTACCTGGTTTCCTTTTCTGAGAGGGCCACCTTCTCTGTGAGATAGTCAAACAGCTCTCCCTTCCGCATCCTAAGGAACAGGAGGGGCATAGGAGACAGATGCACCCCACAGTAGGAGGCTGAGAAAATGAACAGAGCTCCCATAAAATACTATGGAAGAGGGCGGGGTTATAGCTCAGTGGTAGAGTGCTTGCCTAGTATATGTGAGGCACTGAGTTCAATTCTCAGCACCACATATAAATAAATAAATAAAAGGTCCATCAACAACTARAAAAATAAATAAATACTATGAAGGAAGCCTACAGTAACAAGATTCCTCTGCTGACAAGTCAAAGTGCTAGAGAGAGATCATTCTGAGATTGACCCAGATCCCAGAGGCAGTTTGGCCCAGTGAGCTGGCTGAAGTATCTGCACTATGCCAAAATGGAGCAAACTGCATCATTTTAGCAAGAATAGGTAACTTCTTGTAAAGTATTAGAGAATAATTAAAACTGAAAAAGTCCTCTTAGCCAGGCTCAATGGTGCATGCCTGTAACCCCAGTGGCTCAGGAGGCTGAGACAGGAGGATCATGAGTTTAAAGCCAGCCTCAGCAACTTAGCAAGGCCCTAAGCAACTTAACCAAGACCCTGTCTCTTTAAATAAAATACAAAAAGGTCTGGGAATGGGGTCAGTGGTTAGGCTGCCCTGCGTTCATGGAAGGAAGGGAGGGAGGGAGGGAGGAAGAAAGAAAGAAAAGGTCCTCTTAAAAATGAATCTATTTAGAACCAAAATTTCAGCTAAGAGTGGTATGAAGACTGACTAGGACTTTATTTTGCAATTTTGAATTTTTTATCATGTCTTTAAAATTGAAGTTGTAACTCTAATTCTGCGTCAATCCTCAAAACAATGTCATTGTCCTATAAAGTTGTAGAGTGGTATAATGACTGCTCTACTTCCTTTCAGATTTCTGCAGAGTCCATACTGTAAACATATTGAAGTGGATTCAGGCAGGCCAAAAAGAGAACAAATGAGCAGAGACTGAGCAAAGCACTGGGTTAAGCAACAAGTGAGTGGTTAAGTGAGGATCTGTTTTATAAATGGTTCATTCACTGTTGGAACACTCTCCTCTTAAATAGCTTTTCTCTGACCGATCAATTTATAACCTTATTTCCCTTTATAAAGGGGAACTGGGATAGGGACCCCTTGGGTCACAAGAATTCTGTTTTTGGTCACTATCATCCTTAAAGAACTTGCCTTAATCATGGCACACAGGGAGAGGACCAGAGCCATGGGCCAGCCGCAGCTTGTGGTAACAGAGCCCTAGCTGGAGTAGAGGAAGATGTAAGCAGGGTAGTCTCCAGCCCACTAAGCTGAAAGAATGGGGACACACATGGCGGTGGGAATGAGGCTTCTCAGATGGGGCAGGGAGATACTCACAGGTCAAACACCAGGAACATGAAGCTAGAAGACTCGTAGGAATCGATGAGAGTGACTGGGAAAAGAGGCAGAAAAGCAGAGAAACAGAGATGGAAAGAAGCAGATACACATTATAGGATCTTTTCCACCCTGAGGTGGCAGTGGGCTATTACTGGGAAGGAAGGAGAACCAAAGGAGGGAGAAGGGACCCAAAGGCTGGCCACTCTCTGAGGTAGAATAGAGCCAGGAAGAAAGGAGGAGAGGCCTGGAGGCAATGTTGGGGAAATGGGCTGTGTGGGCAGGGGTTGTTAGCTAACAGGAACAGGGAATGCAGCCTCACTGATGTGGGGGTGGCCGGCGACCTGGCGAAGGATATGCGTCTCTCGCCGAGTAGCTTCCCGCACCTCCTCTAGCTGCTCAGGACTCAACCGCTCAGCTGTAACCTCCATGATCTTCACCGCAAACTCATCACCAGTGGCTCGATGAACACAACGGCGGACCACAGAGCTCACTCCTCTGCCAGACAACAGTGCAAGTTAAGGCCTTCTGTCTTCTCATTTTCACCCAGAATGGACTGATGATGCTAATGGAGAATGCTAATAATCTTCCTATCACTTAGGCCAGATTCTGAAGATCCATCTGGACAATGGGGCAACCACCAAAGGAAATCACCCTGGCTTACAGTAGCCTCAGCAACCTGGGTTTCCAGCAAGGTGCAACACAAAACTCACAGGAAACTAGGCAGGGGACCCTGGTTGAATCCAGGCTCTTACCCCCCAAGGGTAAGCCTAGGCAAGTCCTTTCCACATCTGAGCCCCAGAACGTGTCCCTTATAGGAAATGGGAAGAAATAAGTGAAGTCTCCTTCCATATTTCACTCAAGCATCTCTCATTTCCCAATCCAAATCCCAAAGATCCCCTATAACACCTCAAGGGTAGGAGGTACCAAATAAATATGGAATCATAGCCTGGAAGACCAAAGCTGAATATTAGATCTTAGTTCAGACTCCAAATTTGCCACCAACTAACCTCCAAGTCACTCACTGACATAAGGCTCTGGGCTTTAACTTTTATAACTCTGAAATGTGGTCAACAGTATCCTGAAGGGATATTGAAAGGAATTAATGAAGTAGAGAGGGCTTTCCTAAGAAAAATCCTAGACAAGGATTTCCTGTTAACCCCTATTCCCACCTTCAATCTCAGGTAATCATTAATCTCTCTACAGAATTACCTTTTTAAAAAATTCATATAAATAAGACCTTATGGCAGTGATCTTTTGTATCTGCAAGTGATTCATTTCCTCCTGTCTTACTCTTGGCCACTTTGAATTTAATTTCCTAAGCAACCACTAAGGGCATCTGAGTCTGAGGCCCATGATCTATTTATTAATTTTTTGTTGTTGTTGTGGTACTGGAGTTTAAACCCAAAGCCTTATCCATGCTAGATAAGAACTTTACTACTGAGCTAATTATCCCTAGCCCTCAGTCTAATTATTACTCACCCCYTTTTTTTTTTTGGTACTAGGGATTGAACTCAGGGGTACTTAACCACTAAGCCACATTCCCAGCCCTATTTTGTATTTTATTTAGAGACAGGGACTCAGTGAGTTGCTTAGTGCCTCGCAGTTGCTGAGCTAGCTTTGAATTCACGATTCTCCTGTTTCAGCCTCCCAAACTGCTGGGATTACAGGAGTGTGACACTGTACCTGGCTTACCTTTTTTACTTATAGTAATAGAAATTAAACCCAGGGCCTCAAGCATGCTAAGAAAGTGCTCTACCACTGAGCTACACCTCTAGCCCCTATTTATTACTTACCATATAATCAACCTCTTTAGAAAATGTGAAAGCCAGAGACCTCTACCACCTACATAAATTTTTACAATTTCAAGGGGTTCGAGGACCCCAAAAGCCATGGAACTAAGAATCCCTGCTTTAAGGCCTAAATTAAATGCTACCTCATGGATTCTGTGTTTAATTTTCCAACAAGGGACTACTCCCTCCTCTGGCAACCCATAGCCTTCTACCTATAAAAGCATTCACCCTTCAGTAATTRAGCCTTCTTACTGTGCATCATGACTACCTAAGCGGAACACACACGTCTTTGAACTCCAAATCCAAATTCTTTCTGCTGACACTATCCAGAGCCTTGTTCTCTGTCATTCCTTAAATGCCAGACTTGGGTGGCTTGTAGCTCAGAAGTACAGCACTTAATAGTCAGAAGACCCCAAGTTTGATAAATAAATAAATATCAGGCTTGCCAACCATGGCCCTATTCTCAGCCTAGGTACATTCTCCCTTAGTAATTCTCTGTATCTCCACAACTTTAAACCTCCTTACCCAGATATCTCCATTAAGTGTCAGGCCAATATCTCTTTTTAAACATCTCTCCTGTGGAAACTGGAGCTATTTCATAGACATCATGACCACTGAACACTTCATCTTCTCCTGGAACTAGCTCTTCTCTCTCTCTCTCCCTGATCTCAGTTAATGGTGTTACCATTCAATCAGACACCCAAACTGGAACTGGTGCTATGCTTGGCTTCTCCTTCTCCATCTAAATCTACAACCAACTACTCTAGTCCATACTCCACAGCTCTAGTTCTAGTAATCCACCCTTACTTTTCTCACCTGGAAAACTACATCAGCCCCCTCACCCATCTCCCTGCTACCAGTCTCAGCCCACACAATCCATCTTTTACATTGCTTCTAGAATTAGACTTCTAAAACATAGACCACACTGTTTAAAGCATACCCAGATTAATTTTTCTACCAGATTCTAAGTATTCCCTTATTCCTGAGCTGGACCCTAAATAACGGTTTCCCCTCCTTTTTGTGACACCTATATCTTTGAATCTTATGGTTAATTATATAATGCACTCAAAATTCTTCTTTCATGCTGTCTCCCTATTACTTACCAAAGGAAAAAAAAAAAAAAAATCAAACCCAATTCTTTCACTGGTCATTCAAGGGCTTCACTAAAAAGTTCCTTTTTGGGGGGGGGGGCGGTGAGCCAGGGTTGTCGCTCAGTGGTAGCACGCTTGCCTAGCATGTGTGAGGCACTGGGTTCGATCCCCAGCACCACATACAAATAACAAATAAAATAAAGGTATTGTGTCCATATACAACTAAAGATTTTTTTTTTTAAAGTTCCTTTTCAGCTTCACCGCTGGCTATAATCCTGCTATTTAATTTTTGTTTCTGTGACTTATGACTTGTCATCAATTTCCAGAATGTGTCAAAGCTTCTATCCTTTATCCATGAAGAAACTAGGACTCAGGAAAATAATTTAGTGAGAATGTGCAACTAATTAATTATGCAGGACAAGAGGGAAATGGAGAAGAGAGGTGAAAAACAAGGGATGATACTACCATAATCTTGGGAGAAGACACAAGGTCCCTTCTCTCTGATCTGACTACTACAAAACTGGTCTTTCTGCTCCCCTTGGCAGGAAGTTATTTTGGTTCTTACCTATGGGCTCTTCTTCATCTTGGTGCATCCTACCTTACCTAGCCCACAAATGCTGTAGCACCTCAAGAGTTGGAGCTGAGCTCTATTCCCAATACTTTCTCATCCAGTTCTRGGGGCCTAACATCTACTCTGTGTAAATCACTCCCACTACCTTGTCTCAAACCTTGACTTTTCTCCAGAATTCCTGATTCTAACTTCCTTATTCATATACCATATGATAGCTTAATGATACCTAGCCAAATTAATGCCTGCTTTCCTGGCCTCAGGAGCACTTGATACAGTGGACTCTGCCAATCTTCTAGAAGGATATTCTTATGATTTTGATATCATTGTTTTTCTAGTTCAGATGGCATCTCCTCAGTCACCCTTCCTGGCTCTTCCTTCTCTAACTAAGCAAGCCCTAAATGGTGACATGCTTTAGGGCCTGAGCCTAGGTTCCTTTCCCTTCTCTATTTTCTGTCCCCTTCACCACTATCTAATTGCTGATGCCTCCAAAAATTACAGCTCCCATTCAACTCTCTTTTTTTGATTCCTGAATACATATACCCACTTGACAGTGCCTTGGCACTTACTGTCCCCTCTGCTGGGAATATAGCCTGCCTCAGCTCATGACCCACTCATTTTCAGCCTTCAGATCTCAGTTCAAAACTCACTTCCTTGGGGCAGGGGATGTAGCTCAGTGGTGGAGCACTTGCTACCACACACATCACCCTGGATTTGATCCTCAGCATCATAAACAAACAAACCTCCTCACTTCCTCAGAGGTCTCCCAGGCTTCCCAATCTGCAGTGGCATCATTAATTATTCACATATTATTGTCCTATTTATTCTCTCCCTAGCACTTAACCTTTTTTTTTTAAAGATTTTTTTTAGTTGTAGATGGACACAATATCTTATATTTATTTTTATGTGGTGCAGAGGATTGAAGCCAGTGCCTCACAGGTGAAAGGCAGGCGCTCTACCAGTGAGCTACAGCCCCAGCTCCTAATCTTTTTTTTTTTTTTTTACATTTATTATCTACCTCTACTGTTAAGCTGTAAACTCCAAAAGGCAGAAATCTTATGGATTTCTGTCACCCCTCACTGAGTATCCCCAGTGCCTAATATACTTAGTATACTTAGGAAACCTTTGATGAATATCTGCCACTGCCTATACAGGTAAGCTCTTCCTTCTATGCTGGACACCTATGCATACTTCAAGACCCAGCCCAAAGATCACTCCTTCCGGGAAGCTGTGGTTTTTCTGGTTTTCCCTACAGCACTTCATGCAGACGTCCACCTATCTAATCAGATACCTTTTGAAGGTCCACGTTTTTTTTCACTTGTAGAACCTCCACGTCATAGACATCTTTTCTACCCTCCGTATGTTTAGCTTTATGTCTGTCACACAGCACATGCTTCAACTGATTGTTTAATATATGAATGAATTAGTGAGAAAATGGAGGTTAACCTAGAATATGAATCTAATCACCAAATGTTCTCCAACGACCACTGACCTCTCCCATCTACCCAGTCCTCAGATGAAAACATACATACTGGCTAGGACCCGACCTCTCTGGGCCTCCATTTTCCCGGTTGTGGCCTCACCTGCCAATGACGTCCTTCGGGTCGTACTTCTGGTAAAACTCCTTGGCCGCAGCCCAGTCGGGCAGTTCATCCTCCGGCCCCACGTCCAGAGTCATTCTGAGGGAGGTGGGGGCCTGTGCAGAGGAAACGGAGGGCAGTGAGGGAAGGGAGGCCCACAGGCTCTGAGACGACGCACATCGCGGCTCGCGGAGGCGCAGCCCCTGCGGCTGGGGCGCCAGGGTCCTGGGGGATGGGGACGGGGGTAGGGTAAGGATCGGGACTGGGGAAAACTTACAGAAGGACCTAGGGGGCGGGAGGGGTGGCAGGGCAGGGAGGGGGACGGGGGACGGGGGAGGGGAAGGGAAAAGGTGGTCAGGAAAAAGGGAAAGCGGCACAAGGGCTGGCGGCTGTTGCCGCGCAGGCGCACTTGGCGGACGCTAGGAGGGGGCGCAGGGTCTCGCGCAGACTCACCCGCTGGGGAGGGCAGTCAGGTGTGGGTCCACGCGAGGCCGCTCTGCGAAAGGGTTCGCCTTTAGTCCCTGGTTTTGTCCCTGGCGTAGCCGGCGACGACCTAGGGCTCCGCCCCTATCCTGCAGCCAATGATTAGCGCCTTCCGAAGACTGAGATTCAGAAACCCTTCTGATTGGAAACTGGTAGTCTAATAGGAAGCCGAGAGTCCCGGGACTGGAGCCGGCGTTGGAGCTCGAAGTTAACCAAGACCGCGACCATAGGGCCGCGGTTTTAGAGACAGCCAATCAGCGAAAGGCGTTTGCTGCAGAGGGTGGAGCTTGTTGTCAAGCCGTATTGAAGGCCTGGAATGGAACCCGGAAGCTTCTAGGCGGCCGAGCTGTAGGGCTTGGCTGCGTAAGGTTCCTGGGCTTAGGTAGGGCTCCCTCATTCTTTTCCCAGCATCCCTGTCTGAATTCGGGTCATATTTTATCTTAGCAGCCTAGTTTAAAGCGCCTGTTCTGTGGGGCGGGCTCCAGCCTTTGAAACGCTTGAACACAGGCAGTTTGGATACTTGCTCAGCCATTGATGTGGACTTAGGCGGCCATAAGAGATCTCCTTGTCCTGTGGCTGCTGACTTCTCTTGAGTATCTCCCAAGCCTTAATGTTTACCACCTGGGATTGTACACTTTCCCAATCTTCCACCGCCTTCCAAAAGCTGTGGGGGCGGGGATTTATCAAGCTCTGCTTTAAGCCCATCAGGTTGTGGCGATTTCTGCCAGGAGTGATGAATTCAAAGTCAGTTTAACCTGGCATTCACTTATTCAACAAATATGTGTCAAATGTCTGAGGCCTAGGTTCCACACTAGCAGCAATGAAAAAAGTCAACCACACTTGTGGAGGTTATGTCCTAGCAAAAGAATAACAGAATGAATGAATCTCATTAATAATGTAGATTGGGAGCCAAAGTTTGTTCTTTGGGAATATGAAATCGGTAATGGGAAAAGGAGAGGAAAAAATGAATGAAATTGGAGCAATGAAGCTAGGGTAGAGCACTTGCCTAGCATGTGCAAGGCACTGGGTTCAATCCTCTATCACATAAAAATAAATTTTAAGGAATTGTGTCTAATTACAACTAAAAAATGTTAAAAGAGGAATGATTAAAAATAGGTTTAAAATAAGTAAAATTTAATGTTTCTAGTTCTGGCCTCTGAAAAGACCATAGGCAATAACCCAGAAGAATGAGCACACCAGGTGTCTAGATACTGATTTCTAAATAACAGTCCCATGGGAGAAATGCTCACTACCCAGGTGGCAGCAGTGAAAGTATAATCATCTGAAACAATTTCTGCAAGTAGCTAAAGAATAATGTGGACTTGCTGGATGTGGTGGGGCTATAATCCTGGCAGCTCAGGAGGTTGAGGCAGAAGGATTGCAAGTTCAAAGCCAGCCTCAACAATTTATTGAGGACCTAAGCAATTCAGTGAGACCCTGTCTCAAAATAAAAAATAAGAAGGGCTGAGGATATGGCTCAGTGGTTAAGCATCCTTGGGTTCAATCTCTAGTGCCAAAAAAAGAAAGAAAGATGTGGTCTTATCAAAAGGAACAAGGACCATGTTTAAGAGGTTTCCACTGGTCAAACCAGGGAAAATACTCTGGAAGCTGAAACAGTAGGATTTCAAGTTAAGAGGCCAACCTCATCAACTCTATGAGGCTGTTTCAGAATAAAAAGAGATGAGGCTGGGGATATAGCTCAGTTGGTAGAGTGCTTGCTTGGCATGCACAAGGCCTTGGGTTCAATCCCCAACACCACACACACACACACACACACACACTCCTCCTCCTCCTTATCATCATCATCATCATAAAAAATAAAAAGGGCTGGGGATGTAGCTTAGGGGTAGACTGTGTGCCTAACATGTGAGAGAACTTGGGCTCAATCTCCAGGACTGTGCAAAAAAAAAAAAAAAAAAAAAAAAAAACCCACAAACACAATCTGTTAATAAATAAATGTAATAAATAAATGTACATGCTAGACAAGCACTCTACCAATAAGCTATATTTGCAGCCCCAGATTTTGTTTATAGTCAAATACCAAGTAACTTAGAAAGAATGATATAAAGTTAGAACAGCAACATTTTGCAAGTTTCATGATAACATGATTTGGGCAAAATTAGTAGGCATTAAAATCATGGTGAAAATTCACTGCAGAAAGGATATTTACATAGGAACAAGATTTTTTTTTTTTAACAAAGAAACAAAAGAATCTTTACCTTGCAAAATCTAACACTAACCAAATTGTTAATGCTAACACCAATAACAAGACAAACCAACAGGATAGGTCTTCTGATGTGATGGGGCCTTGCTTCAAAAACATCATGAAAGACAAAAATAAGGATGAAGAGCTATCCAAGACTGAAGGAAACTAAAAGCAACAACAGTGAATGTTCTCAACTGGATCCTAAAACAGGAAATGCATTGCTATTCAGGACGTTGCTGAGAAAAATTGGCAAGTTTTAGCATGGACTACATATTTTCTATTGTAATTAGAACTGTATACAAGTTAGCGTCTCTGAATTTTATAATTGTACTGTAGTTATATAACAAATGCAATTGTTCTTAGGAGATCATAAAAGGTCTTCAAATTACTCTCAGATGGCACACACCTATAATCCCAGCAATTTGGGAGGCTGAGGCAGGAGGATTGTAAGTTAGAAGCCAGACTTGGCAACTGGGGGACTGGAGGTATAGTTTTAGTAGAAACTTCCCTGTATTTAATTCCCATTACTAAAAACCAACAAAAACTACCCTCAAATTGTTCATCAATAAAGCAAATGTGAAATATTAAAAATTATTAGCCTAGGTAAAGGATATACATGAGTTTATTGTTTTTGTCTTTTATTGTTTTGAAATGTTTTCCAAAAATGTTTTAAAAAACAGCAAGACATCATTTAATTACATTGGGAGAATGGAATAGACTCTTTTAATAAACTGAAGCTGATTAATCAAACATTAGTTCAAAAAAGATTTCCATAAATATCTTCCTAAAATTTATTACTCTGGATCGTAAGGTGCAGCTCAATGGTAGAGCACTTGCCTCCCATGCACAAGGCCCTGGATTCAGTCCCCAGCACCACAGAAAAAGAAACAAAAATATAATGTGTTATTCTTCTTTCTCAATTTAGAAATCAATGAAGTGAGTTCAATAAAATTTAAAGCAGCACCTCATACTAATTAAATCAGCTCAGGCAAGGCATTAAATACTTTTTAAGACTTCACAGGGCTGGGGATGTGGCTCAACTGGTAGCTCACTCGCCTGGAGTGCGTGCGGCCCAGGTTCGATCCTCAGCACCATATACCAACAAAGATGTTGTGTCTGCCGAGAACTAAAAAATAAATATTAAAAATAAAATTCTCTTCTCTCTCTTTAAAAAAAAAAAAAAAAAAAGACTTCACAGGTGGTTCCATTGAGAAGTCAAGGGTGAGAATCACTGCCACCCATTATTGTCTTTGTGTGTGTGTGTGTGGGGGGGGGTGTACCAGGAATTGAACCCAAGGACCCTAAACCACTGAGCTACATCCCCAACCTTTTTTATTTTTTGAGACCAGGCCTCAATTGCTGAGGCTAGCTTTGAACTTATGATCCTCCTGCCTCATCCTCCCCAGCTGCTGGGATTACAGGTGTGCATTAGCACACCCAACCCACTGTTATAAACTAATTTCTGGGGCCACCAAGAATTCTCTTCACTTTTCCTTCTCAGAGCACTTCCTTCCTCTGAATCCTCTCTTCAGTGTGCACATTTCTAATTCCTTTAGGTGCTCTTCTGGTCTCTGAATTATGGTGAGGTAATCCCAAAATTCCATTCTCAAGGCACGAAAACTCCAAGAAGCATGTACAAGAACATCCATAGCAGCATGATTTATAACATCCCCAAACTGGAAACATTCCAAAAGTCCCATAGAAAATGAACTGATTATCATAGTCATTACAAGGAATACTATACAACAACAAAAAAACTCTATACTGAATATTGATGAATCTCATAATGTTGAGGTTAAGACAAAATATATATATATATGATTCCATCTATATTAAGTTCAAACATGGCCAAATTAACTACACTGATAGAATGCAGAATGGTAGTTACCTATGAAAAGAAAGGAAGAAGTAGTGATTGGGAGGGATAGAAAAGGCTTTGTGGAGTGCTGACAATGATCAGTTTCTTGACTAAATAGTGGTTATTCAGATATTTGCTTTGTGTTAATTTGAGCTGTGTATTTTGGTACTTTCCTTTGTGAAATATTTCACAACTTTGAAAAATGTTTATTGTCATGAAGTCCAATATAAAGGATATGAAAGCTCATTATAATAATACACAGGGTTGTTGTGACCGTCATCCATCCCTTTCATTCCTCAGCTCTGGATTCAAACTGTCTGGGTTCAATCCCAGCTCTGCCATTTACTGACTGAGTGACCTTGGGCAAATATGTGCCTATATGCTCAACTATAAAATCAAAATGATGGTACCTGCTATTCAGTCATTCTGAGGACTGAAGAAGAAATACAAAGTGCTTAGAACACAGCCCAGCACTAAGTACTCAATAAATAAATAGTAGCTGCTGCTACTAGCCTTCCTCTCTGGCCTCAGGGTACCTGCTTATGTATAGGGAGGGCGGAGGTTTTTCCACTAAGGGAAACTTCTGAAGAAAAAAATAATTTCCTTCTCTTGGAGCTCCTAGGTAGGCCAGAGGCAATATGCAGCCTTTTGCCATTAGTCAGATGTCCAGTTTGGCTCTCAACAATGGCCCAAGGGAAAGCAGGGAAAGAACAATTAGACAGGAACATTTTACCACCAAAAAAGATTTTTATTACAAAACAAATTCTAATAAAATCAGGCCTGGTCATCAACCCCTCCTCTGGGTAGAGGCCCTGGGATGGAGCAGGGTAGGGAGATAGAAGGTGGAGGGCATTGAAAGAACAGAGCAGGCTGACCTCCCTTCATCAGTCTCAGCTGCTGCTCTCCTTTTATAAAGGGCTAAAAGAGCTCTTCCAAAGGCCCTTGGGAGAGACACCATCCTTCCTGCCAGGAAGGACCACTGCTGTCACCAAACTGTTGGATCCAGGTCTCAGCTGACTCTTAGCAGAGGCCACCCAGGGTCACTCAGCCTGAGCGATGGCGTAGGAGAGCAGCCATAGCAGCAGGGGGGCCAGAATAAGAACAGCAAGCCAGACAGCAAAGCTGGCCAGGATGAGCCTCCGGGCCCGGGCCCCCCAGTGTACTGCCTCCTCGGACCGGCCTGCCTTATGCCGCTCTTCTGCCTGTGGGGGCAGGTTCTTGGTTAGGTTCTCCCCCTGTTTCTGCCCAAAATGGCCCATTGCCCCATTCCACTCCCCCATCATAATAGCTCAAAGCCTCACACCCAAATATTTCACCTTCCTTTTCAGTTTTTCTTATGCCTAATCTACAAAATAGGTACCCATCTTTTCAAGGTGGCCATTGTTAGCTCTCTAAATCACACATGGAAAAAGTACTTTTTTTTTTGGTACTTGGGATTGAACCTAGGGGTGCTTTACCACTGAGATACATCACCAGTACTTTTATAAATTTCAAGACAGGGTCTTAAATTGCCAAGGCTAGCCTCAAACTTTCGATCCTGCTGCCTCAGCCTCCAGAGTAGCTGAGATTATAGGTGTGAGCCTCTGCACCTGCCAGGAAAAGCACTTTTTAATCCTTTCATTCCTTATTCTTTTCTATTCATCTCAGATTCATTCAGAATTTGGAATTCTTGACTTTTTACTCATGTCCAGTCAAATTCCATTCTCGTAGCCCAGTAGGCATCATCATTTTCACCATTAAGAATCCTTTTCAGGGGCTGGGGATGTGGCTCAAGTGGTAGCAAGCTCGCCTGGCATGCGTGCGGCCCAGATTCGATCCTCAGCACCACATACAAACAAAGATGTTGTGTCCGCCGAAAAAACTAAAAAATAAATAAAATTCTCTCTCTCTCTAAAAAAAAAAAAAAAAAAGAATCCTTTTCATAAATTTGCTCTAATGAAAGTCAGAAATTCTTATGAAAATAGAAATACTGACTGTTAAAATACATTTAGGGATGAGAATATTCCAGCATGATATTTAGCCTGAGTAGTAGCCTTTCAAAAGGTACATGTATGGTCTGTAAGTGTAGCTCAATGGTAGAGCATTGCCTAGGACATATAAGACCCCAGGTTCAATCCCCAGCACTGCAAAAAAAAAAAAAAAGAAAAAAACAAATGGTACATCTGCAGGTGAGGCCCTCTCAAAGACCCCATTGTTTCTTCCAGACTCCCATAGATTGCTCTCATTATTGCTCAGTTGACCCTAGTCTTGCCCATTTCAATTTACCCTCTACACAGGCCTTGAGAACTGATTTTTCTGAAACACAAATATTTCCAAGCCACTCTCCTCTGCAAAAACCTTTATTTTGAAAGTACTGGGGAGCCATTTAAAGTCGAAATTCTTAAACACGGAATCTGAGGCCCTCAGGAATGTGGATCCTCTGGCTTCCTCTCTCACTATTCCTCACTGGATCTGCCATGCCAAACAAACACTCAAGGCCTTTGTACACACTATTGCCTTTACCTGGAGTGACCTTTCATTCTTATCCACTCATCCTTTAGGGTTACTTTCCTGTCACCTCCCCTAGGCAGTCTTACCTACTCTGACACAGACACACACACAAAAAAACACAGACCCCTTCTGGCTCCCAGAATATCCTGTGCTTCTTCTATTACAGTACTGATGAACTAAACTCTATTAATAATTATCCATTTTCACTGCCATCTTGTTCATTAGACTATGGGTCCTTTGACAACAGGAACCATATCTTATTCTGGCACTAACCCAAACCCAAGTACCAATAGATATTTAGTAACTGTTCAGCCAATACAGACAGGTCAAATACACAAAACCATTGCCTTATACCCACTCCCCTGCTCCCATAGGAATTGCTTTCCTCACCTTGATGGCAAACACAAGAGCCATGACTCCCAGGCAAGAGCAGCCACAGATAATGCTAGTAGCTGCCAAGTAGCGGAGGCGGAGCCAGCAGCAGCGGATGGGGGATGGAGAATGAGCAGCTCCCGTGTTGCTCACCATGATCTCCACTGCCTTCTCCTCGTCCTCCATCACCTGTGGGCGATACAGTCAAGGTACTTGTAAGCCCAACACATGAGCTCCTGGCCTGGCTTGCTCTGACTCCACCCCTCAGAGAATGCTGTCCTCATGGCCTAGCCCAACTCTCAGGAATGCTGCCCTACTGGGAAATTCCTCTAGTGACTCAGAATAGGAGAGTAAATGTGTGGCTAGAATCCTTTTCCTTCAGCTTAAGATTCTAAGTCTCTGAAGGCAATCAAGTGTGAACATATTACTGTTTTGACAAGTGGGGAGAAGCAAAATGATAAATGCATACCTAGAAGCAGAAGAAACAAAATCTTGAAAGCTTAAGGCTAAGTGATTTAAAACTGTACTTCAAAGGGTTTTAAAGTCACCTGAAGTTCCCCAGAGGCCGCCTCTGAGTATTGAGGAACCAGAGAGCAGGACCCTAAGCTCTATACTCCACTTCAAGCAAGCTGCAATTTCACATGAAAAAAAAAAAAAATTCTGGCTGGTTCATACACACTTGTAATCATAGTTATTCCAGAGACTGGGACAAGAGGATCACAAATTTGAGGCACTCTGGGAAAATCAGACTCTGTCTCAAAATAAAAAGACTGAAAAACGGGGGTGGGGGGGTCTGGGGATGTAGCTCAGTGGTGGCGTGCTTATTTAGCATGTGCTGCGCCCTAGTCCAATCCTCAGTACCAAAAAACAAAGCAAAACAGAACAAATACCACCTCACATCTGGGAATGGAAAAGGAAAAATTCACATTTTTCCCCCCACAGCTGAAGAAACTGACCTTATTCCCCCAAATTGGGGCCTCCTTTTCTATGCCTCCTTGCCACCTCCTCTCTCCATTTTAACCCAAACCACACAACACAATCAGATTAACAAGAGTCCAAATGACCTCATTATCCATACAGAAACCTGCATAATGATGACCTACTTACTAATTTCTCACCTCCCTATTTCTCAGGCCCTCAAAGCTCCAGCATCAACCACTTTTCCACCCTAATGTTCAATCATTCCCCTTTAGATGGGACAAAATGAAACCACCTGTAGTTCCACATAGTAACAAGACAAAAGGGTGAAAAAGGCAAGACAAGTAGAGAGCAATAAAATGATATGTCACAAAGCTGCAGGGGAACAGGTACTGAAGAAAAGTCAGATGAGGAAAACACAGATGCCAAGTCAGCAGTGGGAGAAGAACCCAAGGGGCCAAGGTGTCCAGATCAGAAATATAAACATGAACAGGGGCTCTTACCTGGCTATAAGTCTTGAGGGACTGTGAGTTTCGGCTCCTGCCTCAGGTTTGATTTGGCTTGGGCGGTAGAGCTGACTCAGGGCTCCAAGCCAAGCCCAGGGGTGGGGTAGGGTGGCCAGCCACCATCTGAATAGCCCCAGGAGCTGGGAAGGGGGTGTGGCTGACTCAAACCAGTTTGGCTAGGAGAGGAGGGGAGGGCCAGGGGTGAAGCAAGTAGAAGTAGAGTACCTGCTTTTTTGTGAAAGGAAAGGAAGCACCTAAGCAAGAGGGTTAAAAGAAGGGAAAAGGTAAGGCATTGGAGAAAGCTGAGGGAAAGGCCAAGAGCCAAGGGGACAGAAGGGAGAGGAGAGAGGAAGTGTGTCTGAGTGACTTAAACTGAGATATTTTTTGGAAACACACCCTGCCAAATCAGATTTGCTTATCTTTCCTCCTCCTGAGGGTGTTTTCTGCCTCAAAGGTATACAATCCTGGTTTAGAGATCAGTTAAATATGAGGGTCTTCCCAAGAGCAAGAGTAGAAAAAATGATGCCCAAGTTCCCACCCAACCCTCCACCAGACCAGAAAATCAGAAGCCTCCTTACGCGGATGCTCGTACAGAAACTAAGTTTATTATTTTTTTTCTTCTTAAAAAAAAAAAAAAGAAAAAAGAAAAAAAAACTCATTGTAGAGAAGCCCCATCCCCCTTCCCCTAAGGGTGTGGGGCTGTGAAGATAGCTGGGGAATCAAGTACAAGGGGGTGGGGACAGACTATCTTGCCACCCTTAACACTGCCCAGCCATGTGGGGTGGAAGGGAAGGGGGATTGTGATGAGCCCCAATTCCATGACAACCAGTTGCCTACCCCCTACTTTGGTGGAAAGAAGGGAGAAGGCCCTTACATCTCCCTGGAGGCTTTCCCCCTCAAAAGACTTCAAGTAGTGGTTAACAGAGTCAGGCCTGGTCATGGAGGGAGAGCAGCCATGGTGGAAAGCCTAGGTGGAGGGGCAGCCCACTCACGTCTTGGCCTTTCGGCCTCTGTGACTAATGGTAGGGCCAGACAGGTGGGGAGGGGCACTGCTGCGCAGGATGCGCTGGTCCCCTTGGTTGGTGGTTCCAACAAGCCTGCGGGGGCCAGGCCGGCGCCGTGGGGTCCCATCCCCTTCTTCCTCCTCACCTGAGGCTTCAGCCTCAGACTCCTCTACTGAACCCTCAGGCCCCAGGGGACTTGGAGGCTGTAGACGGCTCCGCTTTGCCAGCCCAGGACCCCCACCAACTGGGGCCCCCGCCCGTTTGCGAGGCACCTTCTCAGTCTCTAGTGGGGGAACTAGAGACCCTGGACGTAGCCGGGTTGAGCGCAGTTTTGGGGCTAATGAAACCACAGGAGGTGTCAATTCTAATCCGCCTGGCCCACTATCTACTAAATCCAGGTCATCCTGAATTACAGCCACCACCATGGACCCTTCACTTTTCCGTCCCCGGGTTCCCTCAGCTTCCAGCCGCAGGCGGGCCAGGCGGGTAAGGGGGCGGCTTCCATCCTCATCAGAAGAACTACCCTCACTCTCCCCGAGGCCCTGGGCTTGCCGACGCCTCCCTAATCCACAGCTCTCAAGGACCGAAGAGCTGTCACGGTCCAAAACAGGAAGCTGGCTGGGCCGAGGTGATGGTGGATTCTTGGGAGGTCGGCCCCGCTTTCGCTTGGGTGGGGATGTTGAAATGGTGACGGTGGTGACAGTGTTGGCGACAGTAGCAGTGGGACAGGATAAAAGTGGTAGGGGTGGTGGCAATGGTGGTGGTAGTGGGAGTGGCTGTGTCCGGCTCTCTAAATTGCCATCCCCTGGAGAGGACATAGTCCCAGGGATGGGCAAATCCCGTGCCTTAGGGGGCCGCCCACGCCTTCTTTTCTCCACAGGTGACAGGATGATGGGCTCTGGTCTGTGAATTGGTGGGGGTCCAAGAGGCTGGGGCCCAGGAATAAGCTGAGGCTCCAAGACAGGCTCCGCAACAATTAGGGTCTCAGCTCCAGGAACTGGGTCAGCCCCATTGGTTGTTCCCTTAGAGGTGGATGAGGGTGCCTCCTCCACCCCTCTCCCAGGATCTGCTGGAGACCTGTTCTTCTTGGGGGGCCTTCCCCTCCGACGTTTCACAGCAGGTGGAGTGATAGCAAGCAGTGCCCCTTCTCCATTCTCTGGGCTGCCCCCACCAGTCATTCCCAGCTCAATGTGACGACGAGCTATGAAGGGTGGCTGGGTTGGCGTAGGCAGTGACGATGAGGGAGCAGCTTCACAGGGCCCACTGGTGGGAGGTGAGGATTCTGGCCCTGACAAGCTGCGGGTAGATGGGCTTCCTGGGCTGGCACTAGTCTCAGAGACCCCAGGTATTAGGGTGCTGGCAGTTCCCCGCTGCTGTCGCCTTCGCCTCACAAGTTCCTTTTCTTCCACCACAGTTATTAGCCGTCCTGGCAGCTTGCGAAGCACTTTGGGGCCTGGAGGTTGCCCTGAACGACCGGCCCCCTGACCCCTAATTTCTACATCAGCACTGGTGCGACGACGAGGGGGCCGGGCAGGTGAAGGACCCTCAGGAGAGGAGGTGGCTGAAGATGAGGTTGATGGGGCTGTGATCTCAGGTGCAGCAAGTTCTTGTGGCTTCTCTGGGCTTGAGGTTGGGGTCTGAACTTCTTCTACCAGTTCTTCCAAGTTCCTGTCAGCCTCCAATGGCTCCTGAAGTGGCTCATCAGATGTTGCTGTAGGTGGGAGCTCCAGCCCATTGCTCTCTCTCAGACCCGAGGGCAACTCCTCACCATCAGGCAGCACTGTAAGGATGGTCCCCTCAGCAGACGATGGTACCCCCTGCTCTTGACCATTGGGGATGCCGTCAGCCTCCAAGGTTGGGCTAGGTGCAGAAGGGATGAGAGGAAGGTTCTTCTCAGATACGGGCATGATCTCAACAGAAACTGGCAACAGATCCTTAGGGGGTACAAGAGGAAGCGGGGAGGTCTCAGAACTGGTCATGCCAGCCAGCTCCAGGGACTCCATAGATGCTAATGCTTGTACACGGAGTTCTGCCTCAGGCCCCAAGCCCAAAGAAAGGTTGGTGACCGGGGAAGAGATGGGCACAGAAGGTGAACCAAGCAGGAGAGGAGAGGAAGGAGTTAAAAGAGAGGTTTGGGTGGGTGGTGGGGTATGAGGTGGAGGAGAGGTGCAAGCAGGAGGAGGGGTACAGGCAGGGGAACAAGAGGGAGGAATCTGTGGAGGAGTTGGGGGAGAAGGCATGATATGGACAGGAAGAATGGCTATTGGATTAGGGGCTGAAATGGGGACTGGGACGGGGACTGGGACAGGGACTGGGACAGGGACTGGGACAGGGACTGGGGCAGGGACTGGGGCAGGGACTGGGGCAGGGACTGGGGCAGGAATTGCAGCAGGAGCTGAAGCTGGAGCAGGTCGAGGCCTAGGTGCTGGCCTGGGAACTCGCTCCCTGGCAGGGCTGCAGCGGGGGGGTGTGGAGGTATTGCGGGTATGATGGGTGGATGTGACAGGAGTGTGGTTTGCCCCTTGAGTTTCAGCCCGAGCTCCTCGAAGACGCTCACTGACACGAGTCCCTGGCCTCTCAGGGGCCTTGACCTTCTTACTGCGCCGGTGGCTGCCTCCACCAGTCCCACAGGAAATCTCATCCCCAGCCCCTGGCCCCTCCTCCTCTTCTTGGGGTAAGCGAAACACCTCTTCCTTGGCTTGGTCCAGGTCTTTGCGGGCAGCTTCCACTTGTTCCTACCAACAACAGAACCCAAGGGGGGTCAGCAGGAGGCAAGCAGAGCAAGGAATATATAGAAATCAGCAGGAAGTCTCAGCCCCCAGAGATACTTACTTCTGCCTGCTTAAGCTCCTCTCGGCTCACTTCCTCAAGCGAGGCCTCCAGAAATTTCATGGCATAACGCTCAATGGGGGTCAGCTGCAGGGAAGAGCAGATGTGATGAACATAGGACCTGGGCTCTTGCACCCTTATCTATATCTTCAGGGAAGACAGATAAAAGGGTCCTGAGTGCAGGCGGGAAAGTTAAGAAGGATGAAGGAAAGAACTAATGGGTCTGTTCAACACTGACCTGTTCTACAAGGGCAGCAATCTCCTGCTCAGCCCTGGACATCTCCTCATCCTCAGCCCCAGGCCGACCAGCCTCCTCTCCCTCACCAGCAAGAAAACCATCATTCTCATTAAATTCTGCAAGTTCAGCCACTTGTTCAGCCTTGGCCTGGGTGGCAGCACGGATATCCTCTTCATCCTCAGCCCGACACAATGCCTTTAAAGAGTGTACAGAGGAAAAATAAAAATAAAAAACATTAAGACTTAAAGAAGCTTACACCCTAGGAATTAACTGTGGCAAAAATCTGAGGCCAGGTTTACATAAAACAAGGTTCACAAGAATTCAACCATCTAGGACCACAAGAGTTACCAAAGCAACTCAATGGTTCATTTAAGATGGAATAGATTTTACTAGCTCTCCCACTATGGAAAACAACTATTTTGGAGGACTCTTAACTCTACTTTGTTTCCTTAGGTGTCAGCTTCAAAGTTGCCTAATCAAAGACAGACAAACAAGTAGTCACAAAAAGATCTAAACAGCATTTTTCCCCCCTTTGAAACTACGGATTGAACCCAGGGTCACTTAACCATTGAGCCACATATCTCTAGCCTTTTTCTATATTTCATTCAGAGACAGAATCTTCCTGGATTGCTTAGGGCCTCACTAAATTGCTGAAGCTGGCTTTGAACTCGTGATCTTCCTGCCTCAGCCTTGTGAGCCACTGGGATTACTGGTGTGCACCACCGTGCCTGGCTTGAACAGCACTTTATGTGTATATGGAGGGGTACTGGGATTGAACAGCCAGCCTTTTTTCTTTTTTTGGTATCAGGGATTGAACTCGGGCACTTGACCACTGAGCCACATCCCCAGCCCTATTTTTTTATTTAGAGACAGGGTCTCACTGAGTTGCTTAATGCCCACCCATTGCAAAGGATGGCTTTGAACTCATGATCCTCCTGCTTTAGACTCTGGAGCTGTTGGGATTACAGGCATGCACCACTGGGCCTGGCCCTTTTTTAAAATTTTAAGACAGAGTCTCACTAAATTGCCCAGGCTGAACCCTCTGCTTCAGTCCCCGTAGCCATTAAGATTACAGGCATATGCCACCATGCCTGGCCAAACCCATGTTTTTTTTTTTTTTTTTTTTTTTTTTACACTGGGATGCCTCAGGACAATATACTAAACATATCTTTCCTTGCAATGAATATCTAAGGAAACCACTCCAAAAACCTCTGAGAGAATGAGCCCAGAGCATAGCCAGCAATGAAGGGAAGACACTTGGTAGGGAAAAACACCTCCATGATGTTTTATATCTGTAATTCTTTAAATACTTATCTACATCTGGAGAGCTTTGAAAAACTAAAATGCTCAGATGCAACATTGTTTTCAATTTAGTAAATTTTGAGTTAGGGCCCAGGAATAATTTTTTAATTTTGGCAGTGCTGGGGATTGAACCCACAGCTAGGCTAAGTACTCTACCAAAGAGCTACTTCCCTAGCCCTCAAAAGCCTTCCCAGCCACATGCAATGGTGCACACTTATTAATTCCAGATATTCAGGGAAGCTAAGACAGGAGGATCAGAAGCTTGATACCAGTCTGGCAACTTAATATGAACCTGTTTCAAAATTTTAAAAAAGGGTTGGGGATGGGGCTCAGTGGTAGAGCATTTGCCTAGCATGTGTGAGCCACTGTGTTTGATTCTCAGTACCACATAAAAATAAATTTAAAAAAATTAATTAAAGATCCATTGATAACTAAAAATATATTTTTTTAAAAAAGGGGGTAGGGTGGGGGATGTAGTCCAATGGTATAGTGCTCTATACTATTTTTTTTTTCCTTTTTTGGGTACCAGGGATTGAACTCAGGGGCACTTAACCACCAGCCACATCCCCAGTCCTATTTTGCATTTTACTTAGAGACAGGGTTTCACTGAGTTGTTTAGTGCCTTGCTTTTGCTGAGGCTGCCTTTGAATTCATGATCCTCAGACCTCAGCCTCCAGAGCCACAGGGATTATAGGTGTGCCACACCCAGCCAGATAAGAATGTTATTTAAAAAACAAAAAAAAACCTTTCTAAGAGACTCTGTTATGCTTCAATGCTTAGAAAACAGAGTTTTGCATCATATACAAGGTACTTCTTACATGCACTACATCACTTAATCCTAAAAGTTACTATTTCCTTCCCATTCATACTAGGTAGAAAGTAAGGCTCAAAAGAGTAATTTGTGATTTGGCTTAATAAATGCAATTAAGAAGCACTACCATTGAAGCAGGAAGATAGCTTGAGCCCAAAGTTTAAGAACAGCTTGGGAAACACTTAGCAAGACTCCTATTTCAAAAATAAAATAAAAAAAGTGACAGCATTGCTGGACACAAACCTAGGACTCAGAACTACAAATACTGTGTTGTTTTTTTCCTTATTAGATAATGTGAACTTAATTAACTTAAAACTATCAAAGGCTGACTATAGTCTGGAAAGCAACAGAAATAATTCTTTCCCCCAAAGTCAACATACTTATAAAAGACAAGTTATACTTCAAGCCATAGCTCTATTTTAGGATTGCCCACTCTTTTTTCACCTGCTCCAGAATATGGGTTTGCTTGCTGGCCACAGTCTCCTCTTCCTCCTCGGGGGCAGAGGATACAGATGAGCCAGATGGCTCCTCTAGAGGCATATCAAACAGCTCTCGGATGGTCTGCTATTGGACAGAAGGAAAAGTGTCAGCCAATAGAATGCTAGTCCTAGGTCTACAACTGTGAGGCTGATAGCTCCCCAAAATATCAGAGGTGCCACTAGGTGAAAAGTAGTCTGTGAAGACCAAAGCAGCAACTCTTTAACAAGCAGGAGGAGTTCCTACTGGCAGAGCAATTTCTTCTGCTTATGCCGAAAGATCTTACTTTGTACCTGTTTAAAATAGGCTGTTGTGAAGTTGCCTCCCTCAATGGCCATGTCTCCCAACATTCTCTTCTGATTTGCCTTTTTTAGGATGTTTTCTTCTACTGTCCGTTCACTGATAAGTCTAGGAGATGGAGGCCAGGTATAAACAGCCAAATATATCAAAGTAACCCCCTCTCAGAAAAAAAAAGTAAAGTAAGAAAAGACTAGGTAATACCTATAGATGTGGACATCTCGAGTCTGGCCAATCCGATGACAACGATCCTGGGCCTGAGCATCCATGGTGGGATTCCAGTCGCTGTCATAAAAAACAACAGTGTCTGCTCCTGTCAGGTTCACGCCCACACCCCCACTTCGAGTCGAAAGGATGAAGCAGAATATGCGTTTGTCTGCATTGAACCGTTCCATCAAGGCCTAGAGGGAAAGGAGAAAAAGATGGTATTGGGAAACTTATCTCCCCCAAAATCTCTAAGGTTTAGGAGGGCCCCTTCTAGAAGCCTAAGGCTTAGGAAAAAGAGACAGATGCTGAAGAGCCTCTAAACGACTACAGATGCCTGGGTTACCTGTCTCTGTTCAACTCTAGTAGACCCATCCAGACGCAAGTAGAGGTGGCCATGGTAGGTGAGAAACTGCTCTAAAACATCCAGCATTCGGGTCATCTGGGTGAAGATGAGTACCCGGTGGCCCTCTGCCTTGAGCTGCCGCAACAGTGCTGCCAAGGTTTGCAACTTTCCTGAAGAAATATGAAGGGGTACAAGGAACTAGCTACAAGCTGGAATGACAGAATACTCAAGGCTGTGGTCATGAGGTAATCAAGGGTAGCCAGGTATGGTGGCATATGTCACCAGCTCAGGAGGAGGCACTAAGCCACCAACTACTCAGCTATATTCCCAGGCCTTTTTTTATATTTAGAGGCAGGGTCTTGCTGAGTTGCTCAAGGCCTTGCTAAGTTGCTAAAGCTGGCTTTGAACTCCCCGATCCTCCTGCCTCAGCCTCCCAAACTGCTGGGATTACAAGCATGTGTCATTGCACCTGGCCAGTTTTACCACTTTTAACAAAGGCCTTTGGAGCTGGGGATGTGGCTCAGGGGTAGCGCGCTCGCCTGGCATGCGTGCGGCCCGGGTTCAATCCTCAGCACCACATACAAACAAAGATGTTGTGTCTGCCGATAACTAAAAAATAAATATTAAAAAATTCTCTCTCTCCTCTCTCACTCTATCTTAAAAAAAAAAAAAAAGGCCTTCAATTCATCACTCTGGTTTCAAATGTTTAAAATGTGTTTAGGAAAATATTTACTGAGCTGGGCACGGTGGCACATGCCTGTAATATCAGCAGCTCAAGTCTAAGGCAAGAGGATCACAAGGTCAAAGCCGGCCTCAACAACTTAGCAAGGCCCTAGGCAACTTAGTGAGACCCTGTCTCAAAAAAAAAAAAAAAAACCAAAAAACTATTTTTTAATGTGGTGCTGAGGATTGAACCCAGGGCCTCACATGTGCTAGATGAGCACTCTACCACTGAGCTACAACCCAAGCCCAATAACATTTTTTTTCAAAAGTTAAAAAAAAAAAAAAGACTGGGGATGTGGCTCAGTGGTTAAGCACCCACGTTCAACCCCTGGTACTCCGCCAACCCCCCCAAAAAAACATTTATTGCACATATACGAATAAAAATTCTTTTGTTTTCTTACATTCTAAGATAAAGGAAACCTCCAAATATGTTCTTATAAAAATATCTCCAGATTTATGGCAGAAACTAATCACTATGATTCAACCGCCATTTTTTGGAATAGAACCTGATAAACATTGTGGACACCTGGCAGAGATTCTTTGATCCCGGGGGTTGCAAGCCCCAATCCAACCACAGAAAATAAATCATGATTGGTCTAAATAAACCAAGGTTGATCTTTGCTGTTCACCTTTGTCAGTGATTGCCCTGTTTTCGTGGCTCAGTATGAACCATGTGTTATAAAGTAAAGTCACCTGACAGGGCCTTCCCCCTACTCCAAAAAAAAAAAAAAAAAGAACTCACTAGAAATAAGTGTTTTTTATTTCAAACCCTTAATTTCTGTTTAGAGGACTGCTAAGCTACCTGGAGCAATAAAAGTCATCTCAATAACTTGAAGAAACAAGCAGAATAAAAAGATAAAAACCAAGGATGGTAGGCAAGGTAGAAAGATTAAAAGGTCCTAGGGTCAGTGAAGATAGTAAGCTGCTGAACCAAAAACACACCAACATTTCTCATTAAACAGTAAATGTTCCTGTGGTTTAATTCACTCTTAGTTGATTTTTACTTGCAGTCAAATGCATTCTATCCAATACAAAGGTCCTTTCCTCTTCTCAAACGAAAATGAATTGTTATTTTTTATTTTGATACTAGGAATTAAACCCAGGAGCACTGAGCTATATCCCCAATTCTTATTTTTGAGACAGGGTCTCACTAAGTTGCTAAGGCTGGCCTCAAACTTGTGATTCTCCTGCCTTAGTTTTCCCAAGTTGCTGGATTATAGGTGTATGCCAACTATACCTAGCAAATTATTTACCACCAAATACCTTTTCCCCATAAATTTAAAAACTATGCTACGTAGACTCACTCAATATTGGGTCCCAAATAATTTGTAAAATATGATAAATGTTCACAAAACAATCACTGTGAGCATAAATGAAATAGCAGTACATACTTTCAAGGAAGTTAAATTCATGAATGCCATAAATCCATTAAAGAGCCTACAATTCTCCATTTTGCTTATAAGCATAATCTAAAAAACTGCCTATAATGTACAGAAATTCTGAGGGACATGTGTGGTAGTCCTCTGATATAACAGTCCTGCTATAAGAGGTCCTGCACTAGCCAATGAACTCACCGCAATCATACTGGATGAGTCTCAAGTCAGGGAACTGGGTGCGCATGTTACATACAATGCGGTGCAAAGGACGAGCCCGGGGCCAGAGCTCACAGGCCAATTGCTCCTGGAAGGCTGCCTGCCGAGGAGCCAGCCAAGGAGGTGGGTGGCAGGCATGCAGGGAAGGGGGAGGTGCCTCCACAGGAGGCATGACAAAGATGAACCTGTGAAAAGGAAGAAGGCAAGCAGTGTAAAAAATGGGACTCTGAAAAATCCCAAAAGTTAGCACCTTCACCAGCCCTAACCTCTATATCCACTCCCCATTAGGACTTAGCCCTGCCAACCTCTCAATGATTTCTGACAGCTGGTCTAGTCGCTGCTGGGGAAACAGTACAGCCCGGTGGGCAGCCTCGGTATAAGTCCAAAAGGTGGGGTGGCTGGGGCCAGGAGAACGAGGGCCGATGGGGCTGGCAACAGGTTGGGGCAGGGTACAGAAATCCAGGACTTCAGTCCCATACACAGGTGCCAGGGCCCCATGAGCCTCACTAAGTTGGAAAATCCGTTCCAGGCGTTCAGACCTCTGCCGCTTCCGCTTTTCCTCCAGAGACTCCTAGGGATGGGAACAAAACGAGAAAGTAATCAGTATCCCCAAGAGTTCATAAAAAAAAAAAAAAAAAATACGGAAAACCTGATGGTTCTTCCCAAGTGGAAACAGAAACCATGAGATCCAAAAAGTTATACTATACTTTTTGAAGTTATCCAAGCTGTTAATGACAAGTATTCCTTTCTTAATGTTACATAAAATAAATCTCTCTCTACAAAAGATAACTCATCTTTCCCTGTATGCTACCAAAGCGAATGCCTGAATATTCAAAATTAAGATCTGAATATCCAGGGCTGGGGATGTGGCTCAAGCACGCTCGCCTGGCATGCGTGCGGCCCGGGTTCGATCCTCAGCACCACATACAAACAAAGATGTTGTGTCCGCTAAAAACTAAAAAAATAAATATTAAAATTCTCTCTCTGGGGCTGGGAATGTGGCTCAGGCGGTAGTGCGCTCGTCTGGCATGCGTGCGGCCCGGGTTCGATCCTCAGCACCACATACAAACAAAGATGTTGTCTCCGCCGAGAACTAAAAAATAAATATTAAAAATTCTCTCTCTCTCTCTGCTCACTCTCTCTTTAAAAAAAAAAATTCTCTCTTTAAAAAAAAAAAAAAAAAGATCTGAATATCCAACAGACTGTAACACGGATGATTTTTGAGAACTTTCCTATGTAACACTGAACTCAATTCATCTTCTTGTGGGTCCAAAACATTAGAAGGCTTCCTTCGGCTGGGGGTGTGGCTCAGTAGTGAAACACCTGCTTAGCGTGTTCAATCCCAGCACTGAAAAAATAATAATAATAATAATAAAAAAAAAAAGCCTTGGGCTGGGGATATAGCCCAGGCCTCACATGCACATGGCCCTGGGTTCAATCCCCAGCACCATTAAAAAAAAAAAGAAGAAGCCTTCTTCAAATCACTGACCCAGAAACAAACAGGTTAATCAAATCCACAGCAGATTTTTGCCAAGAACCAGAATGAAATGGGGTAGGATAGAAACTGCTAACCATATATTCAGGAGAGGAAAAAAGGCAGTCACAAGACCTGTATGACTTTGATTCAATTTTTTTTCATCTCTGTGGCTTCCAGTTTCACAGTCTATAAAACCACTTAATTCTCCTTTGTAAAAGCACTTACCATGCTTGTAGTTTTACATTTGCATAATTAATATCTTCATTGAAACTATCAAGATCCACATAAAATGAACAGTATCTATTCCTGAAAAAGCAGTGCAGTGCCCCAAATATTTCTTTCTGACTGCTATCTTAAGCTTTATTCCTTAGCTTGAGGTACTAAGTGAGGAATGAAAAATGTCCTAATAGAGGGAAAAACAGTAGCAAAATATTTGCAAACCAGACATTTGAAAGGGGACTTGCAACCAGAATATTAAAAGAATTTTTACAACTCAATATTAAGTCAAATTCTCTATTTAAAAATGCCAAAAGATCTGAATAGATATTTCTTCAAAGATACACAAATGGCCAAAACCACATGAAAAGATGCTCAGCATTAGCCAACAGGGAAATGTAAATCAAAAACACAATAAGATTCCACTTCAAACCCACTAGGATGGCTGTAATTAAAAAAAAAGGAGAAATTGAAACTCTCAGACAGTGGGTAAGAATATCAAACAGTGTAGCCACTTTGGCAATTCCTCAAAACAGTTAAACAGTTACCATATAACTAGCAATTCTTGTCCTTAATCTATATCTAAGAAAAATTAAAAACCTATGCTCATACAAAAACTTGTATATGAAATAGTCATAGAAGCATTATTTAAAACAGCAAAACAAATAATCTGAAGTCTCCATCAATTGATGAATGAATGCATAAAATGTAGTACATCCATACAAAGGGATATTATTCAACAATAAAAAGAAACAAAATACTAACATATGCAACAACACAGGTGACTCTCAAAAAATCATGCTAAGAGAAAGAAGTCATTCCAAAACTGTATATATATGAGTCCAAAGGCAAACATAGTGTGCTACCACTGAGCTACATCCCCAGCCCTGGCAGAGGGTTTGCCTAACATGCATGAGGTAATCTTGGGTTTAACTCCCAGTACAGGAGGGAGTTTGGGGRAAGTTACACTCAAAGAGCCAAGTGTGATAAATGTGCACCTGTAGTCCGAGTTACTAGGGAAACTGAGGAAGAGGGATCTCTTGAGCCCAGGAGTTCAAGGTTAGCCTATGCAACGCAGTGGGACCCTCCCACAAAAAAAAAATAAAAATAAATAAAACACGTTCAAAGGGTAGGGATATAGTTCAGTGGTACAGCGCATGCTTAGCATGCATGAGGCCTTGGATTCAATCCCCAGCACCAAAAAGACAAAGAAAAAAAAAATGAGCAAGCAACAACCAAACCTCTACCCCTTGGTCCTTACTCACCACTGAGAATGGTAGGACATGAATTAACATTCCCACTTTACAGATAAGGGTACAAACCCAAGAAAGAGTAGGGACTTCCCCAAATGTTACTCAAGCACTTGCTACATTAACACTAGGCTTTCCAATTTACCAGGTTAAAAGTGACATTATTCTGTTCTCTCCAATTTACCAACACATCAAAGAAAAAACCAATTTTCTATTCCTTTATCTGGGAAAATAAACTTACCAGATAGAAAGGGGAACGAGGTGGTGGGGGGGGCTGACGTCGAGGTCGGGGGCCACTGAACGAGGTAGCAGTGGAGGGAGGACTGGGGGGACCAGAGCGTAATGTCAGTGTGTCAGGCTCATCCTTGGGAACAGGCAGCCGGTTTACCATGGTGACAGGCAAGGAAGCGGCACCAGATGCCGAAACCACAAGGGAAGATGCCTGGGAAGCTGGGGCCTGTGTTGAGGCTGGGGCCAGCGCCAGGGTCTGAGCTGCAGCTGGACCCAGGGTGGGCAAAGGAACTGGGGCAGGGCTCAAAGTCAGTGTCTGCACTGAAGCTGGGGCCAGGAGTGGAGCAGATGATGTTGCTGGAGCCAAAGTCAGCGTGTGGGCTGGGGCCAAGCCCATCGGAGAAGCTGGAGCCAGAGACAACGTCTGAGTTGAACCCAGTGGTGTTCCTGGTGCCAAAGGCAGTGTCTGGGCTGGAGTAGGTACCAGGGATGATGCTGGAGTCAATGATAATGTCTGGGCTGGAAAGGGCCCTTGAAGGTTCCCTGTTCCTAAAGAGTGTGTCTGAGATGGAGACGAGCCACCCAAAGTGGATGCTAAAGCTGGGGCTAGAGCCAGTGTCTGTGTAGAAGCCAGGCTTGAGAGAGGTGATGGAACGGGGGCTGGTACCATAGTTTGAGTTGATGATGAAGCCAACACAGAAGGTGAAGCTGGCACCAGTGAGGATGAGACTAATGGGGTTCCTGGTGTTGGTGTTGGAGCCATAACTGGAACTGGAGTCTGCGATGGAGCCAGGACTGGAAGAGGAGCCAGAGAAGAAGCTGGAGGACCCAGGATTGCTGTCTGTGGAGCCACCATAGGAGCCAGAGTGGTGGCTAAAGCCTGAGATGCAGAAGGTGCTGGAGCCAGAAGGGAAGCCTGAGCAGGAGCTGGATTTGGCGCAGCCGAAAAGGGATTGGCCAGAGCTGAAGCTGGCACCAGGACAGGGGAACATGCTGGGGCCACGGATGAGTTTAACCCTGGAACATGTGAAGAGGTGGGAGCCAACAACAAAGGGTGACCAGGTGTCTGAGGTGGGGACAGGGCTGGAGTTGTAGCCAAACCTAGAGTCAAGGCTGATGCTGTTGGGGAAGCCCCAGCTGGTGCCAAAGAGGGAGGTCCAGGAGACACTGAAACAACGGGTGCCAGTGCTGGAGTCACATTGGTCAGGAGAGCTGGGCCTGAAGCCGAAACAGGCAAGGGGGCTGAAATGGGGATGGTTAGTGGAGTTGACGCTGAGGTGGGAAGCGTGGTAGGAACAGAGATGGGGAGTGAAGATGACAGTGGAACTGAAACTGTAGAGGGCACAGGACTAGCTAGGGGAGAGGAGTTGGGAATTGGCATTGGAGAAGAGGCTGGCCCAGGAAGTGAGGATGGCACATGAAGAGAAGAAGAGATGGTCATGGGAGCAGCTCCGGGTGCTGAAGCTGTGGAGACAGAGGACAAATGAGCTCTAAAATTACTTTCCTGATCTCTTACCCCAAACTTAACCTATTTCCCAGAAAGCCACCACTCCCACAACATAACACCAAAAATTAAAAGAACAGGACAACTTTATTTCCTCTCCTTCAAAAGGCAATAAATTTATCTTGGAATTAAGTTAGGGCTTGGGCAGCCCACTCTGGAGCCCAGTGCAAATTAAGATAGCATGCTGATAACAAGGGGCTCTGTTGTGACCAAGAAACCTTCAAGACCACCCCATCGCATCTCTATTCCTAGCATCAGTAATCTGGACTCACCACTGACATCAGGCGAAGGACTGTGGACCAGCTTGAGAAGGGGCCTCACCAGAGTGGGCGCAGGTATGGGGGCCCGGGCAGTACCCAGGGTAGGTGTGGATAGCCGACCAGGGCTTAATGTGGGGCGTGGAGTCAATGCAGCTTGAAGCCCAGAACTCGCAGGCCTGGGTGCTGGTGCCAGTGGTGGAACAGGAGTCAGTCCATCCCTAGGGGCCTGTCTCACTACGATCTTCACCACGCCTGTGTTATTCACCATGGATGGTGGCACTGCAAGAGGAAGCTACATTGAGAGGAAGGTAGAAAAAAAACAAGAGACCCAAAGGATGGAAGAAGTCCCCAATAGGGGCAGGAGAGGGTGGCAGACAGATACTGAAGATGCTGGCAAGGGAAAACAACAAGGGAAGGCTGGACAGACAATAGCCCAGGACATGTCTGGAAAGACCAAGGCCAGCAAGGGCTAAGTAAGAAGGCCAGGAGCCTCACCCTGGTTAGCAGCAAGCGGAAGGCTGAGGCCAGTGGGGGCAGGGGTGGTGCTGGGGGTCGAAGAAGGCAGCACAGAGACAGGGGTGGGGCCAGGGGTCGGGGCCACGGCCTGGATGAGGGCCACATGGGCAGGCTGGCTGATGAGGTGGTGCTGCCCCCCTGCTGACACCAAGTGCACCACATTCCCTGGGTTAAGGGAAAAGAGAAAGAGAGAGAAGCAGCTATCAGGAGGGCCGAGGCAAGAGCAAGAAAGGGAAAAAACAGGGAATTATGTCTTTAGAAGGACCTTTTTCCTATTTTTAATCAAAAGACCCCTTTTCCAACCATTCCCCTTGGCCCCACCAACTAAAAGCTAGAAAAAGAAACACAAAGGCTGACATCTAAAAAGAGCCACAAAAACAAGGGACAGAGAAGAGAAGGAAAAGGGCAGGACAGGGGGTGGGTTTTACCTACTTTGCAGCGGGCGGGGCTGCCCCACAGCAAGCTGGCGCACCTGGGCACCAGTCAAAGTGAGCTTGTTGCCCTGGATTTGGAAGGTGAGAGGTTTGCTTCCCCCAGCACTTGCCACTGGACGTTGTGCCAGTGAAGCCAACTGCCCAATGCTGACAACTTCACCTGCTACAAATAGAGAAGGTCATATTGTTCACAGGGTTCACATTGTTCAACATCATTTCTCAGAACCCCCTGAAGCACATACACAAATAAGTCTCTAATTTCTCCACAATTTACCATGTCCAAACAACCGAAGCCCCCACCTACATCCTTTCGGTTATTGAGGTACTGATTCTTCCAATCCCACTTATTTGGTTAACAATTTTCTTTATATTCTCTAATGGCACACTATCAAGACTGAATTGATCATGTCCTTTTACCCTCAGTTTTTGTTGTTTTTTGCATTTTGTTTTGCAGTGCTGTGGATTAAAGGGCCTTGTGCCTTAGGCACACTAATCAAGTACTCTATCAATGAACTATATCGCTAGCCCCACAAATACTTTATTGGTAGGCTTATCACTATTTACCTACCCATGGTCACCTCCCTGACCAGATTGTAAACTCCTTAAGGAGTCTTACTCATGATTTACCAGTGTCTGACAAAACACCTAACATATCTTCTATTCTCTCATTCCCTCAAATATAAATCTTCCTCCCGTCTCAAGTCCCTCACCATCAGAGTCCTGGGAACTTACAGGGCAGACGGGCCTGCATATCAGGAGACAGGATCAGGCGCTGTGGTGCAGGATTTGGAGCTGGCACTGATGTGGTGGTAGCAGTCGCCGTAGTGGTAGAGGTGGTTGTTGCAGCAGCAGGAGAGAAGGTATAGCCTGGCGGCACTGTAAGGGGCTTCAACAGGCTGGAGGAGCCTGGGGGCGGGACGGGGCTCAGACGAACTGGGGCAGGTGGGGCCGGCTTCAGGGACAGGGTTGGTGTGGGAGGCCGTGAGGTCCCACTCAGGACTCCCAAGGGGGATGGCAAAACTGTAGATACAAACCAAATACCTGTCAGAAATATCCTGACTAAAGCCTTAGCCTGGTCCCAGAGGCCTCCATACTTCCCCTTTTAGCCTATGAAATACCACACCCACTTCTTCCCAACCAGGTCCTCAAACTCATTGCATTACTTCTTCCCTAGTCAGAATAATCTTCCTGAAGTACCATTCCACTCATAACCCTTGGCTCCCTTTCAACTCACCCTGGGGGAGAGGACCACTGTTTGGCTGCAGGGGAGGCAAAAGAACAGGTCCAGGGGGTCGGGATGCAGGAACAAGCGGGGGTCCAGCAGGTGAGGCTGACATCATCAGTGGTGCTGGCAGTACTGGGGGGGTTGGGCCAGGGGGAGGCTGGGCTGAGAACTCAGGGCCTGGAGGGGGTCGGACTGGGACAGGGCCAAGGGGCGTCCGTGGGCTGTTCACCACCACCACCGTGCGGCCTTCTTGCTTGGGCACTGGCTGCAGCATCCTATGAGGAAAAATCAAGGGGGTGGGTAGAGAGGGGGGAAAAAGAAATAGCAAAAGAAAGGAAGAAAAGATGAGGCAGAAAGATTATAAGAGCAAAGAGGGGAAAGAAAAAGAGACCCAAAGAAGAACAAGGGAAAGAAATCCAAAATGATCAGAAAGCAGCAAGCAAAGACAGAGGGCAAACAAAAATATCAGTGACAAACATAGGAACCACTCCCAGAACCCTCTTCTAGTTATTTTCTTCCCCAATCCCTCCATAATACTTTATTCTTTTCCCATATAAACATTCTAGCCTAGTCTCCAACACTTCTTTTCTATCCCAAACCCCTCCAGCCAGCTGTAGTCACTTTTTCTAAGAACCCATCCCCTTATTCCTTGGTCCTGGTACCTGTTGACCTTCATCTTGACTGGCTTGGGCCGGGGAGGAGGGTCAGGAGCAGTGGCCACCTCTAGTAGTACTCGGCGAGAGAGGCGGTGCCGGGGCAGAAATGTATCAGCTTCATATCGAGAAACACGACCCTCCAGGCCAATAAGGTCAAACCGACCCATATCTATCCGCTGCCACAAAAAGGAACACAAAACATGGTGTCAAAGGGACCAATTTGGCCATGATTTCTTGGATATGACATCAAAAGCACATGCAACGAAAGAATAAACTGATAGGTTATATCAAAATGTAAAACTTTTGTGCATTGGTGGATGGCATCAACAGAATGAAATAGCAACCCACGGACTGGAATGATATCTGCAAATCATAGATCCAAACTGAGTCATTTTCCAAAGAACACAAAGAATAATAACAACAACAAAAAAATAACCTGGTTTGAAAACAATCAGTAAAGGTCCTGAAAAGACATTTCTCCAATGACGACATATAAATGGCCAATAAACACAAGAAGATACTGAACACCAATAATCATTAAGGAAATGCTAATAAAAATCACAATGAAATACTATTTCACGCACACTAACATAGTCATTATCAAAAAATATCCTTTGGGGCTGGGATTGTAGCTCAATTGAAGAGTGCTTGCCCAGCATGTGTGAGACACTGGGTTCGATCCTCAGCACCACATTAAAAATAAGTGAAATGGGGCTGATATTGTGGCTCAACGGTAGAGTGCTTGCCTCACACGTGTGAGGCACTGGGTTCAATCCTCAGCACCACATAAAAAAAGTAAAATCAACAAAATAAAGGTATTTGTTAAAAAAAAAAAAATAAGTGAAATGAGGTATTGTGTCCATAAATTAGAACTCTTTTTTTTTTTTTAATTGCAGGAATTGAACCCAGAGATACTTAACCACTGAGCCACATCTCCATCAGTTTGTTTTTTGTTGTTGTTGTTGCTGTTTGAAACAGGGTCTTGCTGAGTTGCTAAGAGCCTCACTAAATTGCTGAGGCTGGCTTTGAACTTGTGGTCCTCTTGCCTCAGCCTCCCAAGCCACTGGGATTACAGGCATGTGCCATAGAACTCTTGTACACCACTGGTGGGAATGTAAAATGTCCAGTTGTTATAAAAAAACAGTAAGGGAATTCCTCAATAAATAAATAAATAAAAATTTTTAAAAATCAGAAGTAGAATCACCATATGATATAGTAATTCTACTTTTGGTCATATGTCCTCAAAAAATTGAAAGCAGGGACGTGTCCACCTATAATCATAACAGCATTATTCACAAGTCAAAAGGTTCAAACAATCCAAGTGTTCATTAAAAAATAAACAGATAAACATGTAGTATAGTCACACAACTGAATATTATGTGTTCTTTAAAGAAAAATTTTACATGTTACAACATGGATGAACCTTGAAGATGTCATGCCAAGTAAACAAGCTGCCAAGAATGAGTACTTTATAATTCCCAAACACCCTGACTAGTCAAATTCATAGAAACAGAAAATAGAATGTTGGATGCCAGAGGCTGGGAAGAGGAAAGGGACTGTAATTGTTTAACAAGTATAGAGTATTTTAATTTGGGAAAATCAAAGAAATGGATGGTGGTGATAACTGCACAACAATGTAAATGTACTGAATGCCATTGAAACATATTACTTAAAATGGAAAAGACAGTAAATTCTATTAAATGTATTTCATCACAGCAACAAAAAAAATTGGGAGGAGGGAATGTGTTAAAAAGTGGAAAGGAGTACGAAAAATAAAACATCTACAAAACATCTATAAGTATGCCATTACTACAGGTCCTGGCACTTCCAAAAATATTAATTCAATTCTCAAACACACTGCAACACAGTAGGCCTTACAATCTCTGTTTTGAAAGGTAAAAAAAAAACCCAGACACAGAGGTTAATAAATTTGCCAAAAGTCACATGGCTAGAAAACAATGAAGTGAGGGTAATGAAGGAATAAGTAAGGATACAAAGGTCAGACTCCAAAGAAAAGAGGTCTGAGACTGAGGTAAGGGCCAACCACCTTGGGGGCAACTACTTACCTGGAGCGGATGGACATCAGTGGCCCTTAGCACCAGAGAGGCGGTGCTGAAGCAGATACCTGGGGTGATGAAGGGAGAGGTAACAGGTCGAGGGTCAAATAGATTTGGATGATTGCAGACTTTTCGCAGCTGCATCAAAATGTTGATGACGCTCATGAAATGGCCTGTGGCTAGTGTCTCCTTAGTTCTGGAGAGAAGAAAAATAAATGGGACATTCTGACAGCCATCTGCACTCCAATCCAGGGTCCCAGGGCTCACCCTCTGTCCTCCCTTACGTGGTCTGTGCCATGAAGTCATCATAAAGACAGCGCTGACGTTTGGAGAGTCGGCAGCGGATAACATGCTCATACTTTTTGGGCATCTGCTTCTCGACATCCACCTTAACTCGGCGCAGCAAGAAAGGTCGTAAAACCTAAAGCAAATAAGCAGGAGGCTGACAGGAGACAGTGGGTACTAAGCTCCAGCCTAGCCCCTCTAGCTGGATCTTGGCCCCATGCCAGGTGAGTGCTGACTTAACCAGCTAACTATCATGGAGTCATGCAGTATGCCAGATACCAGTCAGATAAGAATAAATTAGAAGTAAGCCCTCTTCTCAGGAAATTCATTATCCACTGAAGGAGACAAAGATAACCATACCAAAACAAAGATACATGAGGAAGCAGTGAGAACCAACCCTACACAAGAGATAACTCAAACTACATTTCAAGGAGTGACTGTAAGTTTACGAGATTACAAAAATAAATCCAGGAGAGAAACTGAGAATAAATATTGTGGCTTTGGGGCTGGGAGTGTAGCTCATTGGCAGAGTCCGTACTTAGCATGCATGAGGCACCAAGTTCAAACCTCAGCACTAAAAAAATAAAGCAGAATAGAAAAAACAAATCTCTAATCTCAGTATATAAAAAAGTTCATAGAGGGCTGGGGATGTGGCTCAAGCGGTAGCGCGCCATGCCTGGCATGCGTGCAGCCCGGGTTCGATCCTCAGCCCCACAAAAAAATAGATATTGTGTCC